GCTCCCTGCTTGGTGGGGAGCCTGCTTTTCCCTCTCCGTCTGCCTGCTTCTCCCCCTACTTGTGAGCTCTCTCTGTCAAATAAATAAAATCTTTAAAAAAAATAAAGTTTGATTTAAGTCATATCTCAGGAATTTGTAAGAAGCACTTACAGTGCTGTGATCTCTTTAGTTATAGAGACCAGAATAAGAATTTCTATTTAAAAAAAGAAATGGGGGCACCAGGGTAGCTCGGTCGGTGAAGCATCTGCCTTTGGCTCAGGTCATGATCCCGGGGTCCTGGGATCGAGCCCCACATCGGGCTCCCTGCTTGGTGGGGAGTCTGCTTCTCCCTCTCCCTCTGTCTGCTACTCCCCCTGCTTGTGCGAGCTCATGTGCGTGAGCGTGCTGTCTTTGTCAAAATCTTAAAAAAATAATAATAATTTTTAGGTGATTTATCCCTTTTTTCATTTGTCCTTTTTTATGGATTGTTTCATAAACTAGTCTTAATTTCTCCAAAATGCACTAATCAGTTTCTCAAAGCCAATCTGCTGAAGACTCTTTCTGTTTTTTTCCCTTTGAAGGTATTTTAATATAATTCTCTTTGAGAGACCGGTGCCCTTATTAGCATTGTTTTAGAATATCATGTTACTTGGATTATTAGCCCATTGAATTGTATATGCTTTAACTTGCTGATATTTTTAAATATTGTATTGGTCCCTAGGGAACATCAGGAAGGTACAGCCACCACAGGAGGCCTGTGGTGCCTTTGAATAGGGGTAGGTAGAGTTTCTCCTGCTCAGAACTATCCATCTGAAAAGGGAAATCCTTTTGTAATCTTTCTGACAGCTGGCAAGCTAAACCTCCCAATTTGAGCCAAGGAAAGCTTAAGAGCTCATTAACAGCTCTTTCTCTTTTCTTTCTGTAGGAAAGAATTTCCATAATTAAATCCAAATATGATGTCTTAATATCCTCCCCACCCCCTATGTTCTAGATCTATATACAATAAATCGAACCCTACTGTCATACATAATCCTTTAAATATTTGAAAATGACAGAATTTCTCTTAAGTCTCTCTTATCCAAGTTGAATACTACATTTCCCTTTACTCTTTCTCATGATTTCTGGATCCAACCCCATTCTGAGCATCTCTCGTCAAGAATTAAGATTCACCATTCAGAATATCCATTCTTACTAAATGGCAGAGGGCACGACACCACACGAATTCACCCTAATCATCAAAAACCTACATTTGTTTTTATATAAACTCATAAACCGTTCTAGTAGACTATAGAATTGAGGCTGAAAACCTGAATACTGGACTTTACATTTATCTCTATTTAATATTTTACATATTAAATTTCTATTCATTAAATTTAACATCACAATATTTTCTTGAATCCTAACCTCTAGAGAACTCCCGGTTTTGGATCACCTGTAAATTTGCAAAGCAGGCCATCTACATTAATAAAAAAATGTTAAATAGGGCAGAGGCCAAGCAAAGAACCTTGCAGCCCTCTGCAGACTTGCTTCACTGGTAACAAACATCCAATGGAAACTTAGGTTGGAAATGGTCTCTCCGTCATGTAGTTATAAAGCCACGATCCTCTGCCATGATCTTAAGACTAGTTCAAAAGTTTGCCTATGGTTTGGCTATAATTTCCTTGACCACCCCTCCAGTAATTCTTTACAAAAAAAAGTTGTTTTAGCATGACTTACTCCAAACCACTGATTTTCAGTGGAGGCAATAATACCCTATAACGAACATTTTGTAAAGAGTTTTCTCTCAGAGTGTGCACTGGTGCCTTTTTAAAAAAGCTTTATGCATAGTGGTCATTATTAGTGAAGATATAGAATGTTTACAGCACTCTAAAGATTCCTTCATACCTTTCCCCCACCCAAGCTTTTTATTAGGTAATTTAGACATTCAAAGATATTTTCATTGATTTCCCTTTTCTCTACTGTTTTTCAAATTTTCTTCTTTGTCCTTTTGTGGTTTCTTTCATCTCCCTTTCCCTTATGTACAGCTGTCTTAATTTCCTCAACTTGCCTCTGTGTTGTTTTTTTATTAAACATTATGTTTTTATAATTTAAAAAATATTTATTTATTTATTTAAGGAAACTCTCCTCCCAATGTGGGGCTGTACCTCATGACCCCAAGATCAATAGTCACATGCTCTATCAACTAAGCCAACAAGGCGCCCTGCCTCTCTGTTCTTTTGAAAACAATGTTGTATTATTTTTTCAGATTAACTTCATGTACAGGTTTCCTGCTACTGAAAGCAATACAACAAAAGTTAGTATATAAAGAGTATTGTGTATTATTACAGTCACAAGCTCTGGAACCTGGATGTTAAGTCACAGTTTAGCCCTTAGCAGCCATGGAATATTGGGGCAAGTGACATTACTATGTCTGTGTTTTCATCTGTATAATGGGGATTAGTAATAGTACTGACCTTTCTGAGTAGTTGTGAGAATTAAATAGGTTAATTCATGAGAAGCATTTACTGCCATAAAGAATATTCAATTAATTTCAGCTATTATCTCATTTCCAAAGCTAATTTCAGAGCCTGCTTTCATCTCTCTGCCCATTTAAGGATAAAAGTGGTTACTTCAGAAGGGTATTTTACTTTTCTCCTCTAAATGTTTTTCAGCCATTATTATTAGTTAGTGCAGTTGTACAGGTTTCTGTTTTCAGGTAGTCCATAAATATGACCACTTGTTTAAACAGTGGTCATGATTTTTTAATGTTTTCAGGTGTAAAAAAAATTCAACACTTAGAATTGGCTTTTTAATTTTTTAATTTTTTATTTTTTAAAGATTTTATTTATTTATTTGACAGAAAGAGACACAGCAAGAGAGGGAACACAAGCAGGGGGAGTGAGAGAGGGCGAAGCAGGCTTCCCGCAGAGCAGGGAGCCCGATGCGGGGCTCCATCCCAGGACCCTGGGATCATGACCTGAGCTGAAGGCAGATGCTTAACGACTTGAGCCACCCATGCGCCCCTTAGAATTGGCTTTTTTAAAAAAGATCTCATATGGAAGCACTTAAAGATTCTATTTGAATTGTTAGATGAATCAAATATTTAATGATTACTGTGGTCAATAAAAGTTCTCAAGACATGGCCTTGTCCCTTAAGCAGCATTTCCAACACTTCCCTAGTTCTTTCATTGCTTCAAATATGGTTTGTGAATTGGGCAAGCACCATGGTGAAGGGAATGCTGAATACACTGTAAATCAAGCCTTCACAGATAATACTGCTGCAGACTGTGGTCATTGGTGTCTAGACTGTTTCATTGGGACAGCATTTTTCTCTGGGGGAAGAACAGGTTTTTTTTCCTATTGACCAAATCTTATCACAGTAATTAATTTCTAAATCCATTTAGTAATAAAGTTGGATGAGCTAGTGATAACTCTGGTAGAATGTCATTTCTTTTTGTCGTCTTCGATGAGTAAGGGATCAGTGGTAAGTTAGGAGACATGGGGAAACTGTAATTCTATGTATTTTCTGTCCCAGTGGATGAGACTTAAATACAGAAGTCTAATGTCATCTGTTTGGGCCTCCTGATCCACCCCCTCTGCCCCATCTCATCAAACTTCCCAGCTGACAGCATACTGGCTGGGATGTAAATTGTTCTGCCCGGAAGTCTTTGGTGGAGTTTGTTGGAGGGTGTGAGCTAAATCCTCACCTAGGATGTAGCAGATATTGGCCCAACTGATAAAGTGATTCTGAGAGCAAATAGGATGATATTAAAGGAGACATTAGGAATTAAGGAGCACTGTAAGTTTAGTGATTCCTGAACTTAAATTCTGCTTTTTTGAGATCATATAGTACAGTGCTCAGTTATAATGTTCTCTCTGTAGGCCCTGAATGTTAAATACTGTAGAAGTTGGGTGTTACTAATATTTTATATGTTTTTGGAATGGTGAAATCATTTTCTAGAAATTTATGGAAACTAGTTCCATTTGTTTTTTTTTAAAAGTGTATTATCTGATTTTTGAGAACATTTTTAATTTTATAATGTTTTAACATGTTGTACAAATGTAAATTATTACCAAGGGTAAAAATCTTCTGGGTAAAAATAAAATGTTTATTAAAACAAAAATTCTTCAAGAGAATTTGCTAGGCATTTTTAATTTGGTTTATTCTAGCAGAGAAATTATTATCATTATTATTTTTAAAGATTTTATTTATTCATTTGAGACACAGAGAGAGAGAGCATGAGCCGGGGGAGAGGCAGAGGGAGAGGGAGAAGCAGGCTCCCTGCTGAGCCAGGAGCTAGATGTGGGGCTCAATCCCAGGACCCTGGGGTCATGACCTGAACCAAAGGCAGATGCTTAACCATCTGAGTCACATAGGCACCCCTAGCAGAGAAATTATTAAATCAGTTTTATAAAGTACTTTCAGTCTTTGAATGAACTGTTTTAAATTTAGTGTTTTTTTTTTAATATTGTGGACTTCTTTTGAAGATTTTATTTATTTGAGATAGCGAGCATGCGATGGGGGGCAGGAACAGAGGGGGAAGGAGAGGGACAAGCAGACTCTGTGCGGAACATGGAGCTCAGTGCAGGGCTTGATCCCAGGACCCTGAGATCCTGACCTGAGCCAAAACCATCAAGAGTCGTCAGTTGCCTAACCAACTGAGTGACCCATGAGCCCTATGGACTTTTTTTTGTTTGTTTTTTTATAAAAGAGATATTGGGCTTGTGGGTTGGGGGGTGGGGGAGAAAGGCAGGAGAGAAAGAATCTTAAGCAGGCTCCACACCCAGTGCAGAGCCCCTCCATCTCATGACCCTGAGATCATGACCTGAAACTGAAATCAAGTCAGATGCTTAACCGACTGAGCCCCCCCAAGTGCCCCTGGATCTTTTTTTTTTTTTTTTAAAGCTTTTGTTTATGAGAGAGAGAGAGCATGACCTGGGGGTGGCAGGGAGAGGGAGAAGCAGAGACTCCCTACTGAGCAGGGAGCCTGACTTGGGGCTTGATCCCAGGACCCTGGGATCATGACCTGAGGTGAAGGCAGACTCAGCCTACTGACCCACCCAGGTGCCCCACCCCTGGGCCTTTCCTTAAGGGATGAAAAAGCAACTGCTGTCCTCCCATAGTGAGGAAGTAAGATGATGATACAGTTCTGATTTAGGAACTAGATATTAGATATTAAGGCTTATGAGATGGAAGGTATTTGAAAGAGGAAAGTTTCAGTCCTGGAGGAGGCACGCCATGGACTGTGATCATCATAAAGGATAAAACTTGGCATTGTTAGGTTTACACTGTAAAGAGAGAGTAGTCAACATTTTGGTGTTTTTTATTATTGTTGTAGAATCACATCTGAATTAAATGTGCTAAAATTTACTGGGCCATAAAGCTCCTCTTCTAAAAAATAATTGTAGAAGAGATTTACAGAGGAGGTTGGAGTTAATAGAAAGGTCATCCTTCTTAATTGGATTACTTCTAATACCCAAATACAAATACAAGTGAAAGGATATATACCTACTATAAAATGTAACTTAGAATATCTAGTCCATTGTTCTCTGAAAGATCAAATACCTCTTTAACCACATGGACTCAAGGAGACCACAGACTTCCTTTTCCTACTGTAAGTTACACAGGTATTACTTGGTATAATATGTATTATCTTTGAACAAGCTTTTACATAATTTTTTAAAAACTGGTTCTCATTATTATATTGAAGTCATAGTTTTGAACTGCATGATGGCATCCCAAGATGAGTTTAAATCATTGCTCCTTCTACTTGTTAAGTAACAAGGTTTTCATGATCCATAAAAATTAAGTGGTAATCCCTATCTAACAGGGAGATCAGGTTGTAATATATATAACACTTTAAGTGCTACACAGATAGAGGGCAGTGGTGATGAAAATACTTTCTGTCTCAAGCAAAACTCCCACACAGTGCAGGTTCTAAGAAATTAAGTACCTTTGAAGACAATGATTTTTATGTGCGCTCCAAACTTACGTCTTCCAGATCCAGGAAGGACACAATAGGTACTTGGGGAAGTGGCATATATACCTCATGTCCCCACCCCCAGCCATGAAAATCTTTCAGTTTTATTGGAAAGGTAGGTAATGGGTGCTTTATTTTCATAGGTTTTTGAAAAGCTGATTATACAGTTGACAGTTAAAAAGGTGTTTTCTGCCTCATCTTTAGGGATGGGTTTTAAAAAAAATTATTATTCCCCTCAAGTTCTTCAAGACTTCTAATTTTTAACTCTTTTGTTAAACATAGAGTTATAGATAGCTTAGCTTTAAAATACTGGTTTTGGGTTTTCTTTTTTTTTTTGACAAAATGCTCATACTGGTGTCTATAGTAGATTTATTTTGTGTGGTAAAAACTTGTTTGTTCTAAGTTGGCATGTTTGTTTTTTATACCTCTGATGTGATTCATACTTAAAAATAACATTCAGCTGCAAAGTGGGAGATTTTGCATTTTAAAGAAGTCTTCAGTGAAAGAATATATACTAAAATCTTGCTTTCTTCTCACAGCTAGCCTGTTACCCAGATTTTCCAATAATTATGGTGAACACTATTTAAAGAAAAAGTTGCCCTCTTCCACCTTTTCCTTATACCTTTGTCTTTATTGGGTATTTTCCTGGAGTCTTTGTTTTAAAATATGCATCTGGGTATAGCCCATATACTTGAGCATGCTTCCCATTGAAATGACTCTCGGTGAACTCCTGCTCATTCTCCTAATTAACATTGCTAGATGGGCTTTTCCTGTATGCCTTAACAATTTTCAGTGTGATTGTCATTAATGCTTTTTATTTTATCTGAACTTCTCAACACATTTTAGCATGGTCTTGACATTAAAAGCAAAATGGAAGAAGTCTTGTATCAAAGTTATCCAAAGCTGCCCTCTTCTGTGAATTGTGAGATGTGTATTAGTAAGCCATATTTTAGAATCATTTTGTAATCCTAGATCATGTAGTCTATTTTCATTCCACGTTAGTATTTACAAATGTAAGTACCTTTCATTCAGAGACCACCAGGAACACACTTGTAATTGAACGAATTGGACTTACCACTCTCTGCAGCGAAGAATACAGACCATGGAGAACTGTGGGGTGTCTCAATAAGAGGGTGTTACAAAGATTATATTATAGGATTTGGGCTTTGGATAATGTTGGGGAGGGTTCAAGGAAGTGAGGGCTGTCACTCATTTAACAGAAGACAGATGTTTGGTATTTTGTGTGTTGTATAGTGACCTTGTTTTTGTTTGACTTCATCCTAGTCTCAGACAGAGTTGTCTGGTGGGATCAGAAGAACAAAATGGTTTAGCTGTAAATGTCAAATCAGTCTGTAATAACATTGAGACTTAACTGTGAGTTTCATTAGTTCTCAGCAGTCAGGGACTGCCCCTTTTTTTTTTTTTTTTTTTTTTTTAATTTTTTGAAAGCATTTAAATCCAAACTGGGAACCAGTTGGGCGGGGGGTGGGGAGGTGGGGGCTGGTGTTAGGTCAGGATTCAATAGCAATGACATTGGGCATGTCACTGGAACAAGCTGCAGTGATACCAATAGTTATGTTTTTACAAAACAGCTGTTGGGAAGCATATCCTGCATACCAGTTTCAGCTGGCTAGAATTGGTTAGTGGGTAAAATATGAACATATTCTTTTTAATAAGAGAAATAAGATGTATGAGTTTCTGCATTAGTCTCTCTGGGGGATCTTAGGGTTTATCCCACTAAATTTAGTGTCCAGGGATTGGTTTGTAGTGCTTCAGGAGTTGTTTCTTTCCATCTGGGAAGAGTCAACTATTCATTTTTTATATTGTCTGTGTTAATACAAAGCAGTAAGTACCAAAGGGATTTTAAAGGTTTTAAGCCTTAAGAACTCTGTCAAATACTTTACAATTGAAGATTATAATAATTGTAAAAATTATGAATTGTCAGATTGACTTAAGGCAAACAATGGACCATGTTTTCACAGCTTTACTGTCCATTTTAGTCATGTTCATCAAAGAACATTAAGGGGAAATTTATATTAATTCATTTATTCAAACAGTTGCTGTTTGCTAGGTGTCAGGCCCTGGGTATGGTGGAAGGGGTCAAATAGCCATTCCTGTCTTCATGAACAGTACTACTGATTGCTGATTTTTGTTTTAAAAGCATCACTTTTTTCATTTCATATATATTCTAGAATAAGCACTGCATTATTGTATTAATGGTACACAGAAGACTATCCCTATGATTAATAAGGTAGTTTTATAGTTTTTGTAACTTTAAAAGTGGTAGCTTTTTAAAATCAGATATTTATGGAGTATCTGCTCAGACAAGTCCAGAGATGCCTCCAAATGTGGAGGTCTTCAGAACAAAATTTGTATCCTAGTAAACTGCAAGATAGGCTTCTTTTGTATCTTCATTTTGAATAAGTTGAGGGTATTCTCCTTAATATTGAATTATTTATCATTTGGTAAAAACTGAGTAAATTTTAGAACTAGAAAAGCTGTATTTGTAGTTGAGACTTAACCATGAGTACTTATTAGGATTCTAGAGCACATTTGGGTAGAGTCACAGATGAGAGAATGCAAAATGTCTAGTTCCGTTAGACAAAATACATTAAAGGCAAACCAGTGTTCTCCATGTGATACTACTAGATCTGTGTTGGTCTGTAGAATTTTCCTATTGAAATAAATAAAGAACATAATCATGTTTGGTCATTGAAATCTTCATAGCTATATGATAGCTTTGAACGTTTATGAGATACTGAAAATCCTTTAAGAAAGGATTTAGACTGCAAAACTTTTTACATCGTGGTGCTTTTGGTAGAGCAGTAGTAGCATTAGAGTGTGGTTGATTTAGACACAACTAAAAGCGGTAACATTTCAAAGTAAGGTTTTTCTCCTGAAGACCATTCCACACAGAAAAATGTGTACATTTTAAGTTTTAAACACACTATATTGGACTATCATTAGGTCTTATTTACCAAGTATAGGACATAATTTTGCATAGGAAAAGGGATTCCAGAGTTACCGCAGATTTCAAGATAAGTAGGAACTTAACACATAACCATTTTTATCCGTGTCTGAATCATATGTAGATGCCAAGACATGTCTTCATATAATTTAGGCATGTAGGTTTGTGGTACATTCTCTTGGTTAAAGTTTCCTAGATAAGGTTTTGTGTTTTGAAAGTACATCTGTCCGTGTAGCCTCCCGCTTTCATGATCCCTACAGAATTCACTCTGATATTATTTATAATAACCAGTAGATTTGCATTTGTATCTTCTTTATAAGTATCCATTTACCAGGAAGATTGATGGAGATTAGTACCAGCTTACTATGTCTTTTCATAATTAATGATGACTGCAAGTCTATTTGCAGTATGCCATTTTCTTTCCCTATAAAATGGGAGGGGTAAATTTTATTTTGTTTATTGTTACCTTCAAAATTTAATGATAGGAGAACATAGTGTAATTGATGTTTACAGTGGTAAGTGACAAGGAAGAAGAAACTTATTACCGAAGCTCTTCTCCAGCTGCTCCAAAATTCTAGGTACAGTCACAGTTTTTACTTGGGGCAGTCATAACTCATCTGAGAGTCAGCAGTTCTGGCTTTGAGTCCCAGCTCTGCCACTGGGCATGTCAGTCGCTGAGTTTGTGTTTCTCCCTCTGTCAAGTGGGGCTAATGATACCTACCTCACAGGGTTGTTGTGAGGGTCCCAGAAGAAGTACACAGAAGACGCCACTGCTGACGTGGCAGGCATGAAGTAAATGTGTGTTGCTTAAGTTGCATATGTGCAAGGAAAGCTGGCATAAAGAAAGTGACATATTGAAGTGAATTTGACTTAAAAGGAGTTTGGAACTGATTAGGAAAGGCATTATAAAGGGTTTAAGAGGAGATGACCAGATCAAGAGTTGGGATGGGATATTATCATACACGGTCATTCTATTTTCAGTAAGGGTGCTTAGGATTAGAAGTGTCACTGATAAAATTGTATTGTAAGCCACATTTAAATAAATAACATTGAAATGGAACTATGACTTATTTTTTAAAGCTTTATTTGTACAAGTCCTCATACTTTACTTCCACTGTCATCTCAGAACCACCGTATTCCCTTAAGGCAACACTTCACTCCCACCGTTCCTCTTGCACTGTTCCCCAAATTCTGTTCTTTTCCTTTGTTCGTTGCTTGCTCGTTTGCTTTTTGAATCAAGATAACAATTTGAGTCTTCCTGAGAACCACTAGCTGTTTTTTGAGTTCTAGTTAGGTCAATTGATACTTAATGAGCATAAGATATACTGAGTTGTTCTATAGATTTATAGCAGAATATTCTTTTCATTGTTGCTTTTTTACTAGGTTTACAGTATCCTGAAAAAATATAAAGGCCTAAAAAAGATACATTTTTGTGGTGTGAGTTGTTTATTTGGGCATTTTTAATAGACATTTTAAATGTAGATCAGAATCCAATATTCCATTGTTAGAGATATTTGTATAACTAGCACTGTGGTCGCATTTTAAGTCCTCATTTATTCTATTCTTCAGTCTTTTTTCTCCTTTTATTGTTGCCTTCTCTAAAAATGAGTAGTGAAAGAAAAATCATTCTTCAAGCACAGTTAAGGTTGCAAAACCTTTACTCTGCCACATGACTGAGTTTTTATTCGGTGTGATGGCTGAAGATGGGAATTAAAGAACAGAAACTGTGAACTTCATGGTCCCATACACCCCAACATCACACTACTCCCACCGAGCACAGACAGGCAGTGTTGGCTGCAGATACTTGGCTAACCAGCGTTCTCTCTGGGGGAAACATTGATGACACAATTCAGTGACTATGTGCAGTTGACTGGCAAAGAACTGTGTAAACTGTGGTCATACATATGCGCACATGTGTTCTTCAGAATACAACCATGAAACTGAAGCCCACCATTAGTGTGTTCCCACTAGTTAAAATGGATTTACTTTGTTCTTTCCACATCTTGTTGTCCTGTCCCCAGGAAGATGACAGATGATAAAAAACAAAAGCAGACTGACCGCATAACGGTTAATTGACCTATGTGGGGTTATCACTTGCAACCTTGGCTTTATTAGCAATGCCATTCTGTAACCAACCAAGCTGAAGACTAAATGCAACATTAAGATGCATTTTTTTTTCATCAGTCGTATGGCAACAAGTATATTCTGTGTATCACATGGAAGTAAGATTCGGAGAGTACTGTAAGGTCTGGATTCACACATTCCCACCATGTTCCGTACAGAAGGCTGAGATCTGTGGTGCAACAGGGTTGGGGGAACGGAGGGGTGGAAAGGTAAGGAAAGAACTGGGTGGGATTAATGTGGAAGTTATCTTCTTGAGAATTTTCTGCCTTTACAAAGGTAATTAATAAACATTCATAAAAAGTCACACAAATAGAAGTAAAAAGTCAGTGTCTCTCTCTACCCTTTTCCAATCTCACATCCAGACATGTTCATCACTATTCTGTTAATAGTTGGTGTGTATGTTTCCACAATTCTTACACGTGTACAAGATGATATTTTAAAAAAAACTACATGAAATGGGATTATACCACATACATATATTCTTTGCTGTTTGCTTTTCTCACAATATATCATGGTCATCTTTCCGTATCATTACTACCCCAGTCTTATTTTGGTAACTGTGACGTTCCATAGCTTGTATCTACCATAACTTACTTAACCATTCTCATTGACAGACGTTTAGGATTTCCAAGGTTTTTACTAGGAGTTGCATACTAAACTTCCTTTACCTTTATATTTGCTGCCACTCACGTAAATTTGCCTTGAGGATAGACAGCTATGAACATGATGGATCAGAGTATGAACCTTCAAGCTTTTGGGAGATACTTTTTAGTTGTCCTCACGGTCCTGGAGTCATTAATGATAAAGCTTAAGGATGTTGTGGTCTAGCCAAAAACTAAATATAACAGGATTTTTCCACCATTTAAGAATGTAATCTTAATTTTAGTAATTTTTAATTATTATTTATTTATTTTTAAAGTATTTAATTTTTAATAATCTCACATGGTAAAGTCTTTTCTCCAACATCCTAGCTGGACAGAATTTGGAATGTGAAAGTCTGCCAATCCTTTACCACTCCCCAGAGATAAAGTTTTTAAACTAGTTTGTTTTTATTCCTGTGGTTACCATCAGAATTTAAAATAATATATTTCTTGGTATATTTGTCTGACATGGTGTTTCTTTACTGCCTGTCATGAAAGATGAAGAGATTTGTGTACTTATACCACCAACTGTGCCTGCTGCCGCCTAGGTTTTCTTACTACGAGTTGTGGTTGTTTTGATCATTTCCTATAGCTTTTAATGTTCTTAGTTCGTTGGTTTTTTGGGCCACCAACTTGAGGCAACCTCCCTTGACTCACCATTATGGTAAAGAGGAAGTCCATGGCCCTCAGTGTCTTTCTACTTCTTTCTTCTCTCCCTTTACTGTTAGATGTTGTCAGGAATTTTAGTTTGCTTTAGTTTTCCTTGCAGTTTCTAATTACTTCCTCTTTTATTGCAATGTCACTAAAAGCTTTTATCATGGCATTAAAAAAGCATTTAATTTTGCAATTATAGTACATTTTTTTTTTTTAACATTTTTGAAGACATTCTTTAGCCGGTTCTCTGACTTCCTGCTGTGCTTCGCACTGTCTCCTGTGCCAGTGATGACAGTCATACTGGACTTAAAAAAAATTTCTTTTTCAGAAACAGTGCTTGGAAGTAAATTTCAAAATTCTTACATCTGGAGAGATCTATAATTTGCCATCATACTTGACTCTTGGTTTGTCTGGGTTGTGAATTCTTGGTTCTAAATCCTTTTACCTCAAAATTGTGAAGGCCTCCATTATCTTATCAATATCAGATGCTATTCTGATTCTCATTATTTTGTATATAATCCGGCTTTCCTCTCTGAATGTTTTTGAAGTGATCTTTCTGTCTCCTCTCTGTGAACTTCTGTTTTTACTGTACCCACACTGAGGTGTAAGTATTTTAAACATCCATCTTATCTGGCTTGCTTTAATCTGTAATTCCAAATCTTTATTTCATTCAAAGGGTTTTTCTTCTTATTATCATTTTCTATTGTCTCTATCTTAGGGAACTCTTAATGTATTAATGTTGGGACTCTTGGAGCTATCTGCCTTGTATTACTGTTTCTTTCATATTTTCTGTTTCTTTCCTTTCCTCTTAAGATTTGGAAGATTTCTGTTTTCCGGAATGCTGTCTTCAGTCATGCCTCATCTGTTATCTAGCCCTTCTAATGAAATTTTATTTATTTAGTGTTTAATTTCCAAGATCTCCTAGTGGTTCTTTGGTATTTACATTTTTCATAGTGACCTGTTCTGTTGTTTGTTTGAGATGAATATACCCCTTCAAACTTTTAGGGTAGTAATTAATCAAGGTATTTGTGTGTTTGGTTTGGTTTGGTCTTGTCCGATTTATTTTCCCTTAATCTTTTTCCTGGTCTTTCTCTTTCTGTTTGACTTTTCTCAAATGTCTAGTGATCCCTGGTTGGTTAAATTTGCATGAAGATTTGTATTGGTTAGTATAAGTAGCTCTCTTTCATTTCTTTTACAGTTGAGTAAGCTCACTTACCCAAAAGGCTCCTCCCCTGGATAGTAGCCCTCACCATGGACTGTGTGTGTGTGTGTGTGTGTGTGTGTGTGTGTGTGTGTGTGTTTAGTGAGCTGGGTGAGGAGTAAGTGGCCAACTGTCACAAGCCACAGTTAAATGGATTGTATTGTGAGGTGGAATGCTTGGTTTACTTCACTCTGATGGGATGCCTGCCTTTCTCCTCTCTCCCTTCCTCATCCTCCTCATCTTCCTCTCTCCTGTCTCTTCTCTTCTCCTCTTCTCTTCTCTTCCCTTCCCTTCCTCTTCCTCTTCCTCTTCCTCTTCCCTTCTGTCCTTCCTTCAGGTCATAGTGTAGTATTGCCACAAGCTTCGTGCTGCTTTCTTCTCCAGTCTTAAAACCTATTCTTGGGTTTCTTCCTTACTTTTGCTTTGTTTAGAAAGCACTTGTCTGGCTTTAGCTGAGGGTAGCTGTTCTATATAAATGAGAAGTCAGCAGGGGCCTGGCAAGTTGCTTTATGGAGGGTTCTGTAATTACCCTCATTACAACATCACAGCCTTTGTCACTGAGCTGTCATGGAGCTTAGAGCTCCCCACCACCCGAGTTTATCCCTTGTGGGATTTGAACTCACGACCCTGAGATCAAGAGTCACATGCTTTTCTGACTGAGCCAACTAGGTGTTCCTGTCTTTTTAAGGCCCCTAACAGCCTCCTGTGTGTTTTGGGTTTTATTTTTTTCCACTCTGGTTTATTCATCAGTAATAAGCCCATTTATTTTTGGAGAATGCTTACATTTGGTTTGAATATTTTTTGAAATTTTAATAAAATTGTGGGCAATATCAGTCTTGGGAAATAAGTGCATCCACTGTAAACTTTTGAAAGTAATTTAGGAAGGGGCTTGCATACATCGTTTCATTTAGTACTAAAATCATGATTTATTCTAAGACATAATTTCTTTTTCACATTAATGACCTTGAAACGGTTTCTGTTACTTCCTTCCTGGTATTCTTCCTACTTACATCATATCTCCATTTCTTAAGAAATGGTATGTATTTAAGTTTTTAATCATGTATTTGAAGCTTAAATCCATGGCAATGGGTGATTTAGAGGTAAGTGATTAATTAAAGTCACTGAAAGACTCTTGAGTTAAACCTAGTATTTTTCCTTTAGGTTTTTTTCTCCTTAGAAAGGAGTTAATATTTTTTAAAAATAGAAAAAATATAGAGAGAATCATCAAACATTTATTCCATAAATACAAAAGTATATCTGTGTTGGAGACTGCATTTTAGTCTCGTGGAATCAATAGTTACCTCAAAAATATTAGCCATCTTTCTTAGTTACTTAAAACATAGACAAAGTAGTAAAGGCAATGGTGACCCCCATTTTAGATTTTCCAGTTCTGAGAGAGAAATGGCATTAGGTCAAGTCCAATACTTGGGTTGGATGTTGGTAATTAGAGCTCAGTGTTCTTTTCTCAGAGGTCATTTGAAAGCTGAAATTTAGCCAAGTCCTAAGAAGTATTACTTTGTGGGAGTATTTTTAAATCGAGCCATTTCCTGCTCTCCTATCCTCTGGTCATAGTAGGAACAGCTCTTGCTGGATAACTATGGAAGTATCTGTTCCCATGGTGAAATTTTTCAAGGCAGAGATTGGATCAAAATAAGAGCTTTTATTTATTGTCTGTTCAAAATGGGTGCCAGGCATGATGCTGAGTTATTTACATATCTCATTTAATTTCTGAAACAACCTGTTAATTGAGTAATCTTCATTTTACACTTGAAAATATTAAGGCTTAGCAAGGGTTAAATAAATTACATAAGCCCATAACTGGTAAGTGACATCTGATGTTTAACTAGCTCAGGTTTACTCCCAGTTTTTTACTGTCAGCCGTTGTATAGCATATGAGCACTAAACAGCATACCAGTATGAATTAAAAAGTATATTGAACTTATCCTTTCTTTGATTTCCAATAATACTGTTTTGACACTGTACCTGTGCTCCTATTGGACAAAGCTAATTTAATCTCTTGGTTTTTTCTTCCTACGAGAGGGAAGTATAGTAGATTGTATGTGGAAATGAGAATATTTGTGATTCAGTCTTGATGCTGCTCGAGAGGAGGGCAGAATTAAACGTTGATCTCTTTTCCCTAAGAATACAGCTTTGGTTTTTAATACAATGTGCATAGATGTATTTTTTGCTCTCTTGGCTTTTCATCATTCATTCAATAAAGTACAAGAAGATGGCAGATTTTAATCACCTCCACAAGGAAATCCTGGTATTCTTTATAATATGACAAGTTTAACTTAAAGTGGCCTGGATTTTCACATTTCCTAGTAAGTATTACTTGGTTTCCACATTTCTAGAATGGTAGAGTTTTTTTTTTTCCCTTAGATCTATGGGAAAAATTTTAAAAAATTCTGTATCTTCATTTCATGCTTACATTTATAATGAGGCATTGACTGAGTAGTGAATTGTAGATTCAGTTCCCCCCCACTTTAGCACTGTCAAGATCTTGTTCCAGTCTTCTTGGAGCCAGTGTTTTGATGAGAAATTTTATGGTAGTTTGTAGAACGTCACCCAATTGGGATTTATCTGATGCATTTCTCATGATTGGTTTTGGTTTTATGGGATTTGGGGAAGAAGATCACAGAGATAAAGTGCCATTTTCATCACATCACAGCAAGGATGCATACTATCAACATGATCTGATGTTGACCTTGATCACGAGGTTGAGGCAGTGTCAGAGTTCTCCAGTATAAGGCTACTCTTTACCCCCCTTTCCATACTGTACTCTGTGTTTTTTTTTAAGATTTTATTTATTTATTTGACAGAGAGTGAGAGAGGGAACACAAGCAGGGGGAGTGGGAGAGGGAGAAGCAGGCCTCCCGCCGAGCAGGGAGCCTGATGCGGGCCCGATCCCAGCACATGACCCAAGCCGAAGGCAGACGCTTAACGACTGAGCCACCCAGGCGCCCCCCCATACTGTACTCTTTGGAAGGAAGTCATGAAGCACAGCCCACACTTAAGGGGTGGGGAATTATGCTCCACATCCTCGAGGGTGGCGTAACTACATAACTTATTTGGAATTTTCATGTACAAGAGACTTCGCTCTTTTCCTCCATCTTATTTATTTTTATTCAATTATTTATATCATTGTGGACTAATGGGTATTTATTTACTGTTTTTACTATGATGGAAACTAAGTAATATAACCAGCTCCCAGTTACCTTATTTCTGCTTTGAAACAGAAAAGGAAATAATTGTCAAGATCCAATTGGAGTATAATGCCATCTCAGATTACTTATTTATAGAAAAGTTCTTAGTAATAGCTTGAAATTACAGTCTTCTGGGAATCATGTGATAGACCCTGCCTCTAGCAGTTATTTAGGGGTTCGTGTAACCTTCTTGTTCTGATACAGGAAATTTCTTTAACTTTACCACTGTTACCTTCCGTAGTAGTAGATGAGTAGGATTATATAGGGAGCCACATTTCCCAAAAATGTGCAAATATACCCAAGTACATTTTGGCAAAACTCAGATTCAAAGTACAGTTGTGCATGGCTGTGATTACCATGGGGGTTAATTAATTACTTCTAGTTTGGCCAGGATTCTGTGTTGCTTTTATGTATCTAAACCTCCAACTTTATTATTATTGTTTTAAAGATTTTATTTATTTAACAGAGAGACACAGCGAGAGAGGGAACAGAAGCAGGGGGAGTGGGAGAGGGAGAAGCAGGCTTCCCGCTGAGCAGGGAGCCCGATGTGGGGCTCCATCCCAGGACCCCGGGATCACGACCTGAGCCGAAGACAGACCCTTAACGACAGCCACCCAGGTGCCCCTAAATCTCCAACTTTAAAACACAGTGTCCCTAATCTGGCCAACTGAGGGTGATGAATCAATCAGTTAACTGTTTTAATATATTTTTTGGAAGGAAGGCTTTCCCTAGAAGTGCCCTAAAGTACCATTTAAAATTTCTTGTTTTCCTTTTTGATCCTGCTTTTTCTTTATTGGGGCTTTCAGTCATGGCTTCTTTTCATTCTTGGCCAGGGACTCTGCTGGCAGTAATGACTCTGTTGTTAATGTAGCATAGGTACTGCTCCTTTTGGTAGTCTTGGTATTCCCAGACCTTCCCATCATTCTTTCAAAGTTTTTTACAGTTTCTAATTTTTCAAGTGATGACTATATGCTTCTTTTCTTGACTCTTTAAGACTATTATACCATCTGTGTATTACTATTGAATTATGAACCTGTGCAGAAATGTTTGCTAGAGAGCCTTGACTGATTTTACACACACACACACACCCACCCACCCACCCACCCACCCACCCAGTGCACAGTTTTGTATAAAGGACTTTGTAGCTGGTTTCTGCCTTGTGTGTGGGACACCAGGTATCTCCCACCTCAGACTAATGGCTGATGTGTTTTGTGATACTGGTTGTTAATATTTGGGACAGTACAATAACAATGAGATTGAAAGAATATTTGGTTGTTGCATTCCTTCCCTTTAAGCTTCTTTGATGAATATTCTCCAAACTAGATTTTTTTTGGGATCCTTTTAATTAAAAACAAACAAACAAAAAGGGGTAATAAAGGGGAATTTGCTGTTGGGCAGGAAACATGCTGCAGAGCTACTTCTTTCTGGTTATTATAACAGAAGAATATAGAGGATCAACACTCATACAATTTCAGGCAGTGATTTGGGAAACAAATGTAGATTTTCCTGTTATATCAATCATCTCCTGATTTTCTCCCTTTCATAGTTCTCAAGATTTTTCTAAATACAATCTTTAAAATTGACTCAAATGGAAATTGTGCATTCTTTGTTACATCCTTTCTCCACATTACTGTATAAGTTTAATAGCAGTCTGACACGTAAGTTTCAGCAAAAACTTATGCCTGTATATGTTTTTATTGGACTCAGAAATTATTTATATGTCATATTCATAAAAAATTTTCACTTTGATGCCAGTAGTTACATGGCCTTAATCTTATGAGATACATGCTTAATTTCAGTTTTTAAAAAAGATTTATTTAGAGAGAGAGCAGGGGGAGGGGAGGGGCAGAGGGAGAGGGGAGAGAGAATCCCAAGCCGACTCCACCCTGGGCACAGAGCCCCAAGCGGGACTTGATTGCAGGACCTGAGATCACGACCTGAGCCAAAACCAAGGGTTAGATGCCTAAGTGACCCCGGCGCCCCTTAATTTCAGTTTTTAACCTACTTGACAACTTTTAGGTCAGCCTTTGTCAGTCTTCCATGTAAATACATAGTACAGATAAATAGAAACCATTTACTTGCACATGCAAATTACATGTGTGACTTAAGTAGGAGATTGGCAAATTATGTATCTACCTCCTTGTTTCATTTGAGTTTTTATGTTTTTATACTAGATACTCTTCTGACACCATACATTTCACAATTTTTTATAACCTGATTAACACTTTTGTGTTACCATTCAGCTGTGTCAAATCCTTACATTTTGCCATGCTTATTTCTGAATTTTTTAGAAGAACACATTACAGATATGGTTAAAAGTCCCTTTATGTGCCCCTCCTCAGTGCCTTTCCTCTTTTTCCCTAGAGGTGTCCACTCTCCTGGATTTAGGTTCTTCATTGCCAGACAACAAAATAAGCTAGCATTTCAAAATTTCCCAGATTCATCTTCTGAGGGACTTGGAAGTGCTTTGAGGAAAAAAGACTGATGCTCACATTCTCACCTGCAGATTTGTAATCTATATTGAAAGCACTGAAGGCTCTCAGACATGGAAAAAAATAATTTTTAAAATTCAGCATTGCCTAACTCTTTTGACCACAGAACCCCTTCATCCAAGAATCTGTTCTGTTGTGGCTTGGAACATGCTTCTTGAAAAACACTGCCTAGAGGTATACTGTTTCCATGATTGACTTTCCATTTAATTTTATAGATTTTTACTAATGTTACTTTATAGATTTGGATGACAGAAATACTAATAGTATCACTTTCAGTTGATAATGACTGTTGGATCAAGTTTAAAATCATTTTGCAAAAAAGGGAGGTAAAATGTTAATAAATTGCATATTCATTGGCCAGGGTACAAGTTACTTAAGCTGTTTCATTTTTTAAATTCTTGAGTTCGCTAATCTATTGAATACTGAAATGTCTGGCTGTGGACCATGGCAACAAATACCCTTTGCCTTAAACTGATCTGTTACATTTTATGTTCCTGTGGCTGGAAGTAGACCGAGTTTGTTGTTAATGTTTGACACATTTTCTTGAATAACAGTTCTTCAACTGTTAATGTACAAGATGGTACTTGAATTCTTTGTTTGCTTTTTTCTTCCTGTATTAGAAAATCTTGGTGCTTTTTGTAAGTTATGTATAAAAGAAATTTTTCTTAAGATTTGTTCATATACTGGTCTGATCCAGGAAAAATAAAATGGGAAAATGGACACTATTTTTGACCTTCAAATAAAACTATATATTGGTTTTCAGAGTGTTCACCGAGCCCTGGGGTCTTATGCATTGTCTTAAGGCAGGACATTTACCTGTGTGGGAGGACAGGTCTCCTAGGATCTGGTGAGAATGTGGAGGAGAGATGAGGCTCTTGAAAAATACACAGAGGCACACAGTTTACATATAATATTGCAGAAGCCAGGGAATCTCTTCCTATAAAGGAAGAGTCCCAAAACAGACCTCATTCCCTTACTGGCTTGTAGCTGTCACTGCACTATACCTTATGGTTCTGAGATAGGAAATGATAAACAGGAAGCCTCCACTTTCTACAAAAATACATCTGGAACTGTTCAAATATCTAAAGACTAAACCATCTGCCCTGTTATTAGAATTTTAGGGTTTATTAAGGAGTCTCTGCATTTTATTTCTAGGATCTCCCTTAAAACACACACACACACACACACACACACACACACACACACACACGTATCAAGCAGCTTTTCATTAGTTAGGAGGAACCGTTTTGCGTTCTACACCTTGCTATTTTAGGCATAGTTGTAACATTAATTATTTTTTTAAAGGTTTTATTAGAGAGCACAAGTGGGTGGAGGGGAAGAGGGAGAGGGAGAAACAGACTCCCTGCTGAGCAGGGAGCCTGATGGTGGGGCTTGATCCCAGCACCCTGAGATCATGAACTGAGTTGAAGGCAGATGCTTAACCCACTGAGCCACCCAGGCGCCCCTGTGTTAACATTTTTAAAAAGAGATTTTTCTGTTTTCATTTGTAGAGAAAAGTCTCTAAAGAACCTGCACTAGTTGTTTTGTTAGCTTAATTCAGTCTTTATTCTGAAGACATTTTTATTCTAAGTATTAACTTTCTTGAAAGTTATTGTACCTGGACTGTATGATCCTACAACTATTTTCCCAGTGTTCAGTCCTCATTTTGTTTGGTGATCACATATTTTAGAGATCAAGCATCCAAAATAGGAGCCCAATAAATGTTGCTCTTATGCACACTTATTTTGAATTAATGAGCCCACAGAAGAGCACATAAATGAGTGTGTGAAAGAAAGATCAGGTGGAATAAGTAAAATCGTTTTCCTCCCATTTGGTATAAATTCTAATGTAGAGTTAATGGGTTTTTTTTTTTTGCAGTTAATTATTCTGAAGTAGTAAGTTAAACCACTCTGGTGTGTCAGACAGTCCACAAACCAGTGCCACCGGTCTCCCAAAAGATGCTAATTCTGTAACTATTCATTTAGCTAGGATTGAAGAGAGTGTTAGCTAGCTAAGAAACTAAAAAATTCACTCCCTCCGAAACTTAATCTCTAAAAGTAATGGAGTATGGTGAGATTAATTTATAATCTCTTTAGGTGGAGTTAGGGTATAGTTGCCACATTCCTTTATTCTTAACAAGACCCTGCTCTTCAGAATCAATCCGACTACTTCTCAGAAAGGTAAAAGAAGTAACTTATTTATGTATTAATTTTTAAATTTTACCCCTAAATTCTTTTCTTATGTAGTTCTGAGACTTGGTAAAGTGTACAGAGGTTTGTCTACTAAAACCTCCTCAGTTACATTTGATTGATAAGTGAAACAAAAGGAACTACAATTGACCCTTGCATAAGGGGGGTTAGGGTTGCTGTTCCCTCCACTGCAGTCTAAAATCCTTGTATAAGTTTTAACTCCCTAAAATAAAAACTACTGTTAACCTACTGTTGACTGGAAAGCCTTACCGATAACATAAACAGTTGACAAACATATTTTGTCTGTAGTATGTATTATATGCTGTATTCTTACAATAAAGTAAGCTACAGAAAAAAAAATGTTACCAAGAAAATCATAAGGAATAGAAAATACATTTATAGTACTGTACTGTATATCGAAAAATATTTGCATATAAGTGGCCCTGCACAGGTCAAACCCTTGTTCAAGGGTCAACTGTATTTTGCCACTTCATTTGGATATTATATTTAGTGAGGTGGAGGGAAGATAGCAATAGGAAGAAAATTCAAGCCACCTCTGGCCACTGGCTTAGCCCTTTTAGGCCTCAGTTTTCTCTTATGTAACAATTTGCAGGTCTTTCCCAGCTGTAGTAACAATTGAAGATACTTTTTGTTGTTGTTCATTATGTAACAGAGAATGAATAAAAATAATACAATCATGGGAATGTAGAAACTTTCTTTAAAATGGCTAATTATAGTTTAAATCATTGTTGTCCAATAGGACTTTTTGTGATGATGGGAACTATTCTAGATCTGTGTTATCCAGTATGCTAGCCAGTAGTCACATGTGGCCATTGAGCACTTGAAATGTTGCTAGTGTGACGGAGGAACCTAAATTTTAACTTGGAATAAGACAAATTTAAGTAGTCACATGTGGCTGATAAGTTACTGTATTGGACAGTGCAGGTTAAATTCTTAAGTATTTGTAAGTATTTAAAGGGAATTCCACACAGATTTATTATGACAGTCTTGATCTTTAATGATTTGCACCTGGAATCTCTTAATTTTAGAATTTGGCAATTGCACCTCCAACTTTCAATATTTAAATCTTTCTTACAGCATATCCTCCCTTTCTAATTGCAGTCAAGTATGGATAGGTACTGTGACCTTTCCCAGGGATCCTGGAGTCTTGGTAACCATGCACCTGAATTGCTGGCTTTTTAAAGCTGTTATCCTGCTAAGAGTTTATGTGTTTACCACAGTCTCCCTGTAGACTCCTGTCAGTTCCCTGCAAGGCTACACCTTATCCTGTAGTATCTGGCTTTGTAGTATCTGGAGCGGGTTTGATGTTGAGAATTTTATCTTCATATTGTCTTACAGGCTTGATTCTGAAATGTTTTAATTAAGGGCCACTTTACAAAATGCTGGGTCTTCCATTGGCAAGAAGTTCTTAGTCCTAAAATCTTGAGTCATTAGCAAGATGTTGTTAGTACTAAAATATCTAGGTCACTGGGCCATAAATTCACTTAAATGAATTTTCCAGTAAGTCTGCTAATTGCTTCAGTATTTCAAACACTTAACTACATTCTTGAAATTTCCATATTTGGGGATCACAGAATTTTGAATGGTTCTATCCTGAAATTCTGGACCTTTGAAATGATAAAAATTAGTATAGAGACATTCTTTTGGGTTAATGGTTAAATTGATAAGCTATGTGTTTGGGACTCATTTTTCTGTGAGAGGATAATTTATATAAAATTAAGTTTTTATATCTGGCACTCAGCTCACAAAACTCATAATGTTCTTGAACTTAATTTAGTCATACTGAGTCTGAGAGCTGTCTGAAAAAGTGCATCCCCACTGAGGCTTTGAAGCACATCTTTGGGACCACAAGCACTGGTTCTGCATTGCCAAACAAAGGCACTAATTAGTATCCGTCATTCTTGAGCTTTGAACAGAAGGAAACCAAAGGTAGTTGCCATTAAATAAAGTAATAAAAGAACATGTTAAAAACTTCAAGCAGTCCAAGAGTAAATGCCTTCTTATTCCCATAGCATTTCTTCTCCCTAAAAAACCATTACCAGCTTAATTTTTCTTTTTTACAAATTGGACTAAATTACACCTTGCTTTTCTGCTTGTATTTTTTAAAAGGCTTATTGAGGTATAAGTTACATATGGTAACATTCACCCTTTTTTTAGATACACAGTTCTATGAATTTTGACAAATACATATACTATAATGAAGGTATGTAATATTTCTATCCCTTCAAAAAGTTCTTTTCTCTGCTTCATTTTTGTAACCACCACCATAATCAATATATAGAACATTTCCATCGCCCCCCAAAAGTTCCCTCTTCCTGCCTCAGTTTTAACAGCTGTATTGTATTTAGTTATATGGATTTACCTACCCCTCATTGATTTTTAGGTGTTTCCATTCTTGGAATTCAAATAAAGTGCAACAAATATCTTTGTAAAATTTTGGTGTGATTTTCCAGCTACAGACATAGGGTAAATCCCTAGCAGAATTAAGGGCTATAACATTTTGATAGAGCCAAATGGCCTTCCTCCAAAATTGTACCAATTTACTTTCCAACCAGTTATGGCTGACAGTGCCTGTTCCTCTCTCAGTGTCACTGTCACCAAGTTTAATTTTTGCTACTTTGACAGAGGAAATATTACCTAGCAAAGTAACTTGCATTCAGTGGTGGGTTTTTTTTTTTTTTCTCATTTTAAAAACATCAGAAAGTTTATACACACACACAAATCTCACCTGTGTTATTTGTGGTTATAACTACAATATCACATTAGAGAAAATGTGAAAACTTCACCTTTGTTTCTGCTATTTCAATATACTTTTCATTTGCTACTTTTCACATCTACATTTTGTACCTATACATGAACATTTTTATAATTACCCCCATGGCATATGCACAGTTTATGCATGTATTATTTTGTTTGCCATTTTATTACTTATTTATTTTTAAGGTTTTATTTTTTAATTTATTTTTAAAGTTTATTTATTTATTTCAGAGAAAGGGAGAGAGTACACGAGCAGAGGGAGGGGAGGGCAGAGGGAGAGAGAATCCTGAAGCAGACACCCCACTGATTGTTGAGCCCTGAGCCCCATGCAGGGCTGGATCCCAGGACCCTGAGCTCATGACCTGAGCCGAAATCAAGAGTCAAACATTTAACTGACTGAGCCACCCAGGCACCCCTAAGATTTTATTTTTGAGTAATCTCTACACCCAGCGTGGGGCTTCAACTCAGAACCCTGGGATCAAGATTTGCATGTCCCACTGACTGAGCCAGCTGAAACAGCCTTGTTTCTAGTTTTAAAAATTAACTTTATTTCATGAGCATTTTCTTTTGTTCCTAGAATCCTCATTTTAATAGTTGTATGTTCTTTTTCTTTTGGCCATGACACAGTTCATTTAATTATCCCACTTCTAAAATTTGTTTACACTTTTTCACTATTTTGAACAAAGTTTCAAATGCGAACTTTTAAATACAAATGTTAAAAAAATCCTTTATGTTATTTTCTTAGGATAAATTTCTTTTTTTTTTCCCTTAGGATAAATTTCTATTAGTCTCATTGTTCAGGATCTAAATGTGTTAACGTTGACATGAGAGGATACAATTTTATCATTTGAAATAGTTTTCGTTACTTCATTGGGAATTCAGTAACATTTTTTACTAAAGAAGAGAGCAGTTGCAAATCAGTGTGCTTCTATGCCAGGTTAAGCTATTTATTTTTCCTCCTTTTCATTTGAAAAAATATAAAAATGATACGTGCTACTTGTAACGATTTCATATCCACTTTCCAGAGGTAATCCGTCCACTGCTGTTTAGTAAATTAAAATTTTTTAGTTGAATTATTTCCCCCAATACATCATTCATGTGTTTCAGTATTTAAAAATTACCAAACAATATACAATGAAGTCTCCTTACCCAGTTCCCTCTCTTGGGGGCAATTAATGTGATGATTCTCGTGTTTTCTTTCAGACCCATTTTATGCATTTTTGAGCAAGTGTATATGTGCGCTTTGTGTATGTGTGTGTCTCTTTTTAAGCCATAAATGTTACCATGGTGCACATATTTTTTTGTACATACTTTCTTAGATAAGTCTTTTATTTGTATTTAATTTTATAAAAGTAGATGACACATGCATATGGTTCAGAAATAAAATAAAGACTTGAATAGCTGCCCTCCCATCTGTTCCCTGTCTGCTGTCTTTCAGTGAGCCTTTGTGCATATAGAAGCAAGTAGGAAGAGACATATTTTCTTTTCTTTTCCTCCTGTAACTCTTAGACTAACCTTTCCACATCTAAGGAGGCAGAATAGAATAGGCATTAAGAGCTATGGATTGGGGGCCAGCTCCCTGCATTCAAGATGTCTGCTCTGCCACTTATCAGCCCAGATCATGGGCAAGTTGTTTAACCTATCTGTACCTTGTAATTTTCATATGTAAAGTACTAGTCAGTATACATACTTCGCTTAGAATAGTACCATACATATAAGAAGTATGTGTGCTTGCTAGTAGTACTGGTATTTTTATTATTAAGGACAGTAACCAATAAAATAATAAAGAATCTGGAGTACCAATCAGTTGGATTTATATTTAGTGATATGTATGGATTTGGGTAAATTCATTTAGCAGAAAAGGTTAGATGGGATTCCTCACTTGCTTGGGTTCTACTTAAATACATTTTATTTTATTTAAAAAAATTTTAAAGGTTTATTTATTAGAGCGAGAGTAGGGGGAGGGGCAGAGGAAGAGGGAGAGAGAAGCTTAAGCAGTCTCCACCCTGAGCTTGGAGCCTGACACAGGGTTCAGTCTCATGACCCTGAGATCACAACCTGAGCTGAAACCAAGAGTCAGACATTTAACCAACTGTGCCACCCAGGCGCCCCTCAAATACATTTTAGAAAATGTCAGAAAACAAATTCAAAGCAGCTAAAATATATTTTGTTGTTCTTTGTTTTATGGGTTGATGGGTTCCTTTCTCATTTTTTTTGCATATACTTGTTTAAACATACTTTTATAACAAAAGTGTCTCAGAAAAGGTGAGGGTAGAAGTGGCTGCTAAGAGTATGAACTTTTTTTGCACAGTGCATCACATTTTGGTGATCAAAATGTGCATATCACATTTGATGATGTGCACATGATGCACATTTGGTGCATCACATTTAACCAAATTTGGTTAAAATACATATCTATACATAATATTTAATTTTGGGTGATAGTGACCCATAAAGCTTTTTTAATTCCCTGCCCATATTTAGGATCAAATTGTTAATGACATTAAAAGTTCTTTGGGTGCCTGGTTGACTATGTCAGGAGAGGATATGACTCTTGAACTTGGGGTTGTGAGCTCCAGCCCCACATTGGGTGTTGAGATTACTTAAATAAATAATAATAATAAAAAAACCAACCAAACAACAACCCTGAAAATAAAAAGTTCTTAAACCAAACAAGGGACTGGAAGACTGAATTGTTTTTCTAGTCAATTTTTCCATCTTCAGTTCTTTTTCTTAATAAAATCAAAGTAACAACAAAACCTCTTTTCCCCTTTCCCACCTTCAGATCCCAGTTACAAAGTTATATATGTTCATTGTAGAAAATATAAAAACAAACAAAAAACCCCAAAAGAAAACATAAAACAGGGAAATAAGAATCACCTTAATGCCTCTACTCAGCTTAATATTATTTCTGTTTTAACAGTTTGGTGTCTAGACTTCTTGCATTTTTCTCTAGATAGGTGTGCACACATACTCATGGTACTAATCTGTGTTTTATAGTGGTGGCATCAGGAATGTTGCACACACTGGTGTTTTTCTTTTTTTTTGATAGTATCATGAACATTTTAATTACATCATTAGTATCATTTATAACAGGTGCATCATATTCCATTGAGCACCTATGTCATTCTGAAATATATTTTGTAATATATTTCCTTTTCAAGGGCATTTAAAAATAAGCTATCAGTAAACATTCTTGTAGGCAAATCTTTTTGGACATCGATTATTTCCTTAGGGTAAATTCTGAGGCATGAGCTTCTCAGGTTGTAGGATATGCATGTTTTTCATGCTTTGGTACACATTGCCAAACTGTTGTCCAAGCAGTTGGTATCTCCCTTCATATTTGCCAGCATGGGGTCTTGTCTTTAGATAAGTCCATGCCTATTTGAGACGCATATCACTCCCCTTCTGAATTGGTGCAGATTCACTTTCCATTGCCCCTAGAATCATCTTTTTCTTCTTCCCTTCTTCCCTCTCTTGCTATTCTTCCATATCCTTCCTCCTTCCCACCTCAGACTTCATAGAAGCTGGATTTAGTCCTGGTTGGAGAGGGACCTGTTCCAAATACTCTTCACGTCACTCTTACCTGCTTTGTAGTGCATTTGCTGAATAAAATGTTCCTGAGGCTTTTTCTGGACAGCACTGATTTTTCAAAAATCTTTTTTTTTGTTTTTAAAGATTTTATTTATTTGGCAGAGAGAGACCCAGCAAGAGAGGGAACACAAGCAGGGGAGTGGGAGAGGGAGAAGTAGGCTTCCCGCTGAGCAGGGAGCCCGATGTGGGGCTCGATCCCAGGACCCTGGGATCACGACCTGAGCTGAAGGCAGACGCTTAATGACGGAGCCACCCAGGCACCCTGATTTTTCAAAAACCGTACTAATTTCTTCCAGTTATATAAGTTCTGATTTTCACTTTTGTGATTTTTAGTATCAGTTAATGTGTTCGATTTGTGAAGTGACCTCATGCTCTAGCACAGTCATTGAGGGAACTATTTCTGGAATCCTGTAGACCAGGTTCAGATTCCAGCTCCTGTTCTTGTTGACAGGCTTTGGAAACTAGGATGTCCTATTTAACCCCTCCAGTCCTTCTGTTTCTTTTCTTCACTTGTAAAGTGGATATAATGGTAATACCTTCCTCAGGATTTTGTGAGGATTTAAAGAGGTGATGCTTTTAAGTGTTCCGTCATGCCCTAACAGGTAGTAAGCACTCAACAGAGTAGCTCTTAACATCATCTCATCTGGCATGTGTGTGAATGAAGCAGGGATTGTTTTCTCATTTTGCATTTCAGTAAATGGAATTCCATCAGAAAGATAGAATATTTTTCCTACTGCCACATCTAGAAAACCCTGGCATGTGAACCTGAATTTAGGACTTTTGATCTATAAGGACTACTGCAAAGTGGGAAAACTAGAGTGAATGACAAGAATTGTGATCATCCAGGAAAAGCATGAAAAGCTTTAAATATGGGGCTTGAGTGACACAGCTTCCAAAAAACTTTGGCCTACCAGAAGTAGGCAAGAAGATGAGCTTAGTTGCAGGAGAAGAGGAACTGTTCCTGTGCATCTTGGCCTCAAAAGAGGTTGCTCTATTCAGAAGTCTTCCCCACACAAATACCGAAAGAATCTTTCAGAAAGGTTAAGATGACTGAGTATTAGGATCAAAACAGTTAATAAGTTTGTCTGCTTTGGTTTAAATTAGAATGGAGTGCTGCTTTAAATATATGACTGATTAGGCATAATTTTAACTTGTTCCAACAGGGCATGGTGCAGATGTGAAATGTGTAGACTGGCATCCAACAAAAGGGTTAGTTGTTTCAGGAAGTAAAGATAGTCAACAGCCAATCAAGTTCTGGGATCCCAAGACTGGGCAGAGTCTTGCAACACTGTAAGTGATAGGAACCCCACCTTGGTCCCTAAACAAAAGGGAAAAAGGCTGCCTCTATTCTTTAACTTTGAGCCTTCTCTCCTCCTGTGTATTCGTGAAAAACTAGGGTAGACAACAGATGAACTTGTACCTAGGGTCTTCTTATTAATTAAATATGATTTTTGTTCTGCTATATGTATCTACATTTAATTTGGGTATCCCTAAGGGTGGGGGGGGCAGGGAGGAAGATGAGGAGAAGGTGGTTCTTACTATCCTAGATTGCAGTCTCTCCTCATGATAACATTTTGGCACTGTATGGAGCTGACGTGGCAGCCACTTACTAGACACAGCCCAGCCTTCTCCATCTCACCACATCTATTTGTAGAGAAGTTTTCTCCCCAGTTTTGAATCCGTTCTCATTTTTTGTTTGAGGTGCTTGCTTATGATGCAACCTCATAATAAGGTTTTGTCTTTTTAAAATTTTTTTATGATTATATTTTATATATATTATATTTTATATCATATTTTATATTACCATTTTTTATTATTATCTGTCAACATTCCTAGTTAAATGAACATGTTACTAGCATGCTTTTGACCACTGTATCCTGGTCTTTCTGACTGGAAAGTGAGCTAAATCCAGAGTGAGCTGGCTGGAGCAAGGCTGCCTTGTTGCCTAACTCCAGTGGCCACAACCAAATAGAGTGACTGATGCTCCTTGGAGATGTGCATTTTGCAGGCCTTGACTTGTAGTGGTTTTAGTTCAGATTAACTCTCAAACTATCCTATGCCCTTTTTTAATGCTTTGTCTTAATGAGAGGAGCTTCAATGAATTTTAAAAATTTAATGAGCTTTATTGAATATTAATTTATGTGTTCAAGTGCTTCCCCTGCTTCACAGATAAGCTTTTCTATACAGTTGAAGCTCTGCTGCTATTTTAATTGGTTAATGAAAAGTGTACTTAAATAATGGACATTAAGAAGTAATAAAGCATGTAATATCACAAGACCACAGTTAAAAGTACACTTGAAATAATGACTAAACCTTTTGCCAAGAGGCCATACCTCTTGCATCCTGACCCATGTGCTTTTTAACAAAAATGGCCATTGTATCGATTTATCCTTGTTTTGAATTCTGACAGATTATTTTTTTGGTACGTTGTTTCTAGTCATGCCCATAAAAACACAGTAATGGAAGTGAAATTAAATCTCAACGGCAATTGGCTACTCACTGCATCACGTGATCACCTCTGTAAACTTTTCGATATCCGAAACCTGAAAGAAGAGCTTCAGGTCTTCCGAGGTCATAAGAAAGAAGCCACAGGTCAGTGGTTGTGGCATGCTTCTTATTCTCACTATTAGCTGTAGTGTGTTGAAATCCTAATAATTTGCTTTTGCCCACGTTTTTGTTTTAAAGCTGTGGCCTGGCATCCTGTTCATGAAGGACTTTTTGCCAGTGGAGGGTCCGATGGCTCTTTGTTATTCTGGCATGTTGGGTATGTAATACTTATGTAAAGAAGTTGTATATTTTATGAAGAGAGCACTCAAAAGTGTAAAACATAATGTCTTGTGTTTTTCCTGAGTGTTCATATGTCCTATATCAGAGACTTCCTGCAGTTTTCAATTCTATAAAAACCCAGCTTGGAATAGAAAACTTAGCACCTCTGTTTTTGGATGTGGAAGTCATTAAGGGAGAGTAAAGCAGATTTCCTTGTTTCTTATTGGTGAATTAATTCTCGAAGCATTTTCCCCTCTGAAGTACTCCTCAAATAAAAGAATACATTGCTGATGACAAATGAATACCCCTGAAACATGTGGAACTGACCAGATTTAAAGTAACAGGCTTTGGTAGCTTTGTGTTATAGTAAAAGAAAATGTCTTTTTTTTTGGTAACTTTTGTGAAAAGACTTCTTTCTGTGGTGCTATTACAGGGTAGAAAAGGAAGTGGGTGGGATGGAGATGGCCCATGAAGGAATGATCTGGAGTCTGGCTTGGCATCCTCTTGGACATATTCTCTGCTCTGGTTCAAATGACCATACTAGGTAAGCTTTGTATCAAAAATGACAAGGAATTACTGTGTTCATGGAGCAGCAGAAAATAAAGATTTATATTTATTTTTATTGATAGATTAATGTATTTGTAGTCCAACTTCTTAGGAACATTTTTGTAGCTGTTTATAAATAAGTATGTAATAATAAGAAGGATATAGAATATTGAGTATGACTTTGTTATTCAAATTTTGCTTTGCCTTCTTATTAAAAAATATTTTGACATTTTAAATTTTTAGAAGAAAGGCATTGTAAAACTTTGTTATGTTTACCAGTGGGCTTGGTACTCTTAAGTGCCCAGAAATACACTGAAACCGTACTCCTCCCCTTACCCCTTCCATCACTTTTATTTTGACAGCAAATTCTGGACCCGAAACCGACCAGGTGATAAAATGCGAGATCGGTATAATCTCAACCTGTTGCCTGGAATGTCTGAAGATGGAGTAGAATATGGTGAGACTTTTACACATTTATCCTTCTGTGAAATCTGATATTCTCTTATTAAAGCGTTAGTTATGGAAAATATTATATACATTTAAATTTAGTTTTATAGTTTACTGATTGATAAAGTTTCATTTTTATAAAGTGTTCATTTTATTGGGCCACTATGTTTATAAAATATCTGTTGACAATAAATGTATTCGTATTTATAGATGACCTTGAACCTAACAGCCTGGCAGTAATTCCAGGAATGGGAATACCAGAACAACTAAAATTAGCAATGGAACAAGAGCAGATGGGTAAGAGACATTGTACCTGTATGTTTTATCTTTATCAAATTTTTGTAGACCTGTTTCTTGCCTTCATGATACTAAATTATTTTGAAAATGCCAAAATGATTTTATGTTGAGACATGTTGATAAAAGTGATGTAAACTGCATATTATTTAAAATCTATTCTTCTAAAAATGTGTTTATTGATGACATGGCCATTTGCTCTCATTTCCTTGGCTAACTGCTTCTTTTTGTGGTTACAGGGAAAGATGAATCAAATGAAATTGAAATGACAATTCCAGGTTTGGACTGGGGAATGGAGGAGGTGATGCAAAAGGATCAGAAAAAAGTTCCTCAGAAGAAAGTTCCTTATGCAAAACCTATTCCTGCTCAGTTCCAGCAGGTGAGTAACTAGCAGTAGCCCCACCTTGTCCATGCACTGGGAGGGGCTGCCTGGTGAGTCTGTCTTGCACTGTCTCATCTGTGGAAAGTGTGCTACAGACTTCTTTGGAGTGTTCTTCAACCAAGACCCCATCTGCTGCTCTGCAGTTAGTGCTGAGTTTGTCATGACTCTTGTAGCTCTTCTTTTATTCTCACCTACTTCTTACTGTCCACGCTATCAGAGGAGGGAGAAGAAAGAAGCATGGAGCAGAGAGAGTACGTTGACTCTCCTCTACTTTGTTTTTCTGTCTTCTGCTTTATTTGTCCCTTCAACACAAAGTGCATGTGCCCTTTGGAAGAGGCGGGCAGGCTTTCATTTTCAATAACATGTAAGATCTTACAGTGTTTATCAGGTTAGTAGTTTCTGCCCTGTATTGTGCTTGCCTGACTCCATCCTCATCACAAGAAGGAGCATTAGAATAAAGGTGGTACAGCAGGCTGGCCGGCTTGTATTCGGCCAGTTGGAAGGAGCCAGTGACAGTACAGAATGTTTTTCTCATTTTCTCATTGTAATATACACACTTAGGGTATATTTAATATTCTCTTCTTTCCAAAGGCTTGGATGCAAAATAAAGTTCCAATTCCTGCCCCAAATGAGGTACTGAATGACAGAAAAGAGGACATTAAATTGGAAGAGAAGAAGAAAACACAAGCAGAAATTGAACAAGAAATGGCCACATTACAGTATACTAACCCACAGCTTCTGGAGGTGTGTGACACTCTTTAGGGGGGGTTCAAGATGATTTAAGAAAATAGTGATAACATTTTTTTATTGATATGCTCTTATGGAGAAGGGAAGGGCTTCTCAGATGGGTCTAATGAATGCCACCATTTCTTTATGTTTTTCTAATTTTTTAATTGAAGTATAATTGACATACAATGTCATAATAGTTTCAGGTGTGAAAGAATTCTGTTTCTAAGACTTTTAAAACGAGATCAGTCAAGCAGTGAGCAGACCTAAGTTAAATATACATTTTTTAAAAAGATTTATTTATTTTAGAGAGAGAGAGAGAGAAAGAAAGCAGGGGAAGGGGCAGAAGGAGAGGGAGAGCGAGAATCTGGAGCAGGCTCCCCACGAGCGCAGAGCCTGATGCGGGGCTTGATCCCACAACCCTGAGGTCATGATCTGAGCCAAAATCAAGAAGTGGATTCTTAACCAACTGAGCCACCCAGGTGCCCCTACATATACATTTTTTAATAGGAAAGATAAAGCCAACATAGTTTTAACTTGGATCATTTATTTATCCACAGATAAAATAATTTTTCTGTCAGTTCTAGAGCAGGTGGTTTGCTCTTACTTTTTTTGCACCTTTGACAGTTACCAAAAATGATAAAGCATTAGTAAATTATTTAATATAAGAAGATGGATATAAATAATCCTGATTGCTGTTTCCCAGTATTTAAAAAGAAGGAGTCTATAGTGAGTCTGAAAGCTGTGTGCTCTCAGAGTATCTGAATGTTATACGGATTCTAGTTACTGTGGAGTGTTGAGAGGTCGATGCCTTATGTTCGTCTTGAGGCTCCCCTAATGCAGTAAGTGATAGCAGTATTGTCATCTTCAAGGGCTCTGGTGTATTTATCAGTATGCTTTTTTTCCTTTCTTTCCAGCAACTTAAAATTGAAAGGCTTGCACAGAAACAGGCTGAGCAAATTCAGCCTCCTCCTTCATCTGGCACCCCTCTCCTTGGACCCCAGCCCTTTCCAGGACAAGGTCCAATGTCTCAGATTCCTCAAGGTTTTCAGCAGCCCCATCCATCTCAGCAGATGCCAATGAACATGGCTCAAATGGGGCCTCCGGGTCCACAGGGACAGTTTAGACCCCCTGGACCCCAGGGACAAATGGGACCACAAGGTCCTCCACTGCATCAGGGAGGTGGGGGGCCACAAGGATTCATGGGACCACAAGGGCCCCAGGGCCCGCCCCAGGGGTTGCCGAGGCCTCAGGACATGCATGGGCCCCAAGGAATGCAGAGGCATCCTGGACCTCATGGCCCTTTGGGACCTCAAGGACCACCTGGACCACAGGGTAATTCTGGTCCTCAAGGTCATATGGGTCCTCAGGGTCCACCTGGCCCACAAGGTCACATAGGCCCTCAAGGCCCACCTGGTCCCCAGGGTCACTTGGGCCCTCAGGGGCCTCCTGGTACTCAAGGTATGCAGGGACCACCTGGTCCCAGAGGAATGCAAGGACCTCCTCATCCTCATGGGATACAAGGTGGGCCAGGGTCTCAAGGGATCCAAGGGCCTGTGTCTCAGGGACCTCTGATGGGATTGAATCCAAGAGGAATGCAGGGTCCTCCAGGCCCCCGAGAAAATCAGGGTCCTGCTCCCCAAGGGATGATGATGGGCCATCCGCCTCAAGAGATGAGAGGACCTCACCCTCCAAGTGGACTGCTGGGACATGGCCCTCAGGAGATGCGAGGCCCTCAGGAGATGCGAGGCATGCAGGGGCCTCCAGCCCAAGGGTCCATGCTGGGCCCCCCCCAGGAATTGCGAGGGCCTCCAGGCTCACAAGGTCAGCAGGGGCCGCCCCAGGGCTCTTTGGGGCCGCCACCCCAGGGTGGCATGCAAGGGCCCCCTGGACCTCAGGGACAGCAGAACCCGGCAAGAGGGCCACATCCATCTCAAGGGCCAATACCATTCCAGCAGCAGAAAACAGCTCTGCTAGGTGATGGGCCCCGGGCCCCCTTCAATCAGGTATTATTTATTTCTAACTTATAGGCATTGCACATTGGGAAAATACACTCTGCACGGAGGCGGCACTTCCAAAAGCTGTGGAAGCAGTCACAGCTTGTATCAGTGTCTCTCAAGTAGTGATGGTGGCTTGAGAATAGCATCATGGCTGAAGAAGGAAATGAGAGTAAACAAGACCATTAAATATATTGTATATGAGTCTTTTTAATAGAAGTCATTCCAGAGAAGATCAACTCTCAGTTGAATACCGTTCATAATCGTCCCCGGGCTTTAAAAGAGCTGTGGCCCTGAGGAGGAAGCAGGGGTGGCCCTGAGCCTATCAGGTCCCCCTTTTCTGGGCTCTTTAGTTTGTAGCCCAGTGTTTTGTGGGCTGATCTGCCTGCCAGCTCTACTCTTTAAGATAGTATGGAGTATTTAACTCACAAGTGTACGGGAGACTCTGATCTCACTATTTTTCATCTCAGTGAATGCTTTTAGAGATCTCTGAGTCCAGAATTGTGCATTCTCAAATGGTGACCCTTTGGACAAAATGCTGTTCAAGTTGTTTTCCACTCACATGTAGATTTATTTACTGGAGGGAGTAATTCTGTGGACATTGTCTTGGCCCTTTTTTGAAGATTCTGTTTTTGTCAGCAAAGTTTTATTACCCATTCGCTGGGCTTGTGCTTGAGAAGTGGTGTGAGGAGGGTTCAGGTTTTGTGGGGGAATTACGGAAAGACTGCATGAGCATGAATGGATTTAGCACTGTTTGGCTCTGTGGTTTTTATGTTTTTCTCAGTTTCATAGTCTGGAAGCATTATTTGGGTATGAACCACTGCATTTGTGTCCCTGAAGTTAGTTGTGGACAAAAAGTGAGTGAGCGAGTGCGCTAATGTTGACTCCTCGGGTCTTTACTGAGAGGCACTCGGTCCACTTGGAGAGGATGTGCTGCATGTGAAAAACAGTCTGTTTTGCTTTTTCAAACACCTCTGAGAATCTGTCATGTGAAGATGACCGTCAGGTTAACGAATTAAAATAACCAGCTGAGTAGGTTAAGCGTTACTTTTCCATAGGTCTTCCAGGACTTAAAAGTGTCACAGCAGTGAAGAGTAGTTGAGTTTATTTCCAGAATCTGTTGGGGCGCTTTTTAGGATTTAGGATGAGTGGAATAAATCTAGGTTTATTGTCCTGAACTACTGTAAAATTTGCAGTATTGTATGTTTTATTAATACACAGAGCATTTGTATGTGTTTATAGTATCAATTCCCTAACCTTATGGTAATGAATTAACAGCTTTCATTTGGGAGGACAAAAATGGTGATGAACTTTAGCTACCGCATTATGACTGAAATTAAAAACATGTCAGATTCAAGAGGTTAGGCCTGAGTTTCTGGGACAATTCAGCAAGAGTTTTTGTTAAGTAGTAAAAGATTTTATACATGAAAAGCATAATGGCTCTAAAGATTTAGTTGAGCTATAGAATTAGTATGAAGGTTTGATACATTGTAGGACATTTCAGATCTCAAGTGTTGCCTGATGAAAATTTTTGCCCCTATTTTTTATGTGCTGAAATCTGACTTTCTTCACTTCGATGAGACTAATTATTTAAACCAGTTGTTTCAGTTGGTTAATTTAGTGGAATTGCTTTCTGGTGTTAAAAGTAATAGCATGAAAGATGCTGATAAGAGCAGTCCTTGGGTGAAGGAGACAGGAAACAAAGGAGGACAGAAATTATAAGTATTGAGTTAATGATAGTCATTTGTAGCTACAATGCTAGATGTCCTATCAAGGTTGCTCTTTCATGTAGCTAGTTTGTAATGTGCAAGCAATTTTGCTGTGAATGGTTTTGAAACTCTGCTATTTTCATAGTAGGTCCAGTCACCAAATGCATTTTTTTTTTTTTATGAAGAAATGTGTTTGTTAAGAGACCTAATCCAAGGTCACTGGACAGTGTGGAGACTCAAAATTTAGACATGGCTAGGTAAAAAGACATAATCTTAGGGACAAGCTGGGGTGAGCTCTGGGGTTTCAGAGCATGGAGACAAGATCAGAGCAGCAGGTTTGTATCTGCAGGGACCCAAGGAATCCAACAGGATCCCAGGCGACTCAGCTGGGAATGAACCATAGGGTGCTGAGGATGGGGAAATGCTGAGGTAGAGAAGAGGCAGTTGATAGGAGAAAGCCAATGTGAATATCTCATCACGAACCCCTTTCGTATTCTTCCACCTCTTCAAACCCAGCCCTAGCCGCTTGAGAGGATTGGTTATTTTTTGTAGCTGGAAAAGAGTCCCAAGTGTGAGAGCAGAGTTTACCTGTCCTGGCAGATATCCAGATCTTTACTTTTGCCAGAAGTTCCTCCTTTGTGCAGAGTGTTATGTTACGATTTCTGACTTTCCATTGAGGTTCTTACTTGGCATCACAGGTAAAGATCTAGCTTTAAATAAAACCTATCAGCAGGTTTAAAATATAAGTGTTTCCTTTTATTATGGTAAGAGAAGTTATCTCCTTCCCCCAATTTAAGGACAATTTTGCTATAATGTCACTAGCTGTATATTTACTGCTGGAGGCTTTGGGGCAACCTAGTGTTTTTATCTTGTCACATTTTGATAAAATTGCTATTTATGAAGCACAGTCCTATGATTTCACACCCCCGCTTTAAAAACATCTTTTCAGGAAGGACAGAACGCAGGCCCCCCACCCCTGATACCAGGCCTAGGGCAGCAGGGAGCACAAGGTCGCATCCCCCCTCTTAACCCTGGACAAGGACCTGGCCCTAACAAAGGTAAATATCTGCTCGGCTGAATAAGAGATTGTATTCTACCACCTCTGGGTAAATCTTACAAAAAAAATAGTTTATTGGTAAGTAATTGATAGAATGGTCATTTGAACCCTATAGGAAAAATAGGAGCACAGTCATTTCAGGTAAAGGCTTTGTCCTAATGTTTTCATAGACTTGCTCAAAGTTAGCTAAAAATGCTGTCCTGAGGAAATAAGCTCCTCACTTACCAGAAGCTGACGGTGGAAGTGCTGGGACAACTCCTAGTAGCAGGGCCTGGGCCTGGGCCGGCCTTGTCCACGTCTTGGGAATGGGAGTGGTTCCTGTGAGCACTGAATGCAAGTGCATGTCGTTTGCTTCCTGGAAAGCCGAACTGCTTCCACTTACAGTGTTTGATGAGATAAAGAATTTAGAGATTTTAATAGTGTTTTTAATATTACCCCCTTTCCCCCCCCCAAATTGTGCCATGTATTGAATTCTTTAGCTGGTTATATTGTTTTGCACGATTTGATAAGAAGAAAGCCATATACTGATGTATCGGGTTCTTGATACTATGGAAAGCACAGAGATAAGACCTGCCAGTATTTAGATGTGAGGCTGTTTGGAAGTTGAGTTAATGCCAGGAGTTGAAAGCGCAGAGGCAGCCCCTTGTGCTGAGGTGTTCTGCTGTCACAGGGGCGGGGCAGGGCCGGAGCAGGAGTGAGGGGGCGGTAGGCTGCTAGCTGGAGAGGGCAAGGGCAGGACTGAGTGGTGTGGATGGAGGGAAGGTCGGAGACAGGTGTTCAAGTCAGTGCACTGTCTCACAGGGAGGACACAAGCCAGAGAACCAGGAGTATTGTGGAGGTTGTACTTCAAAGAACTTCACTCCTTTTAATTTTTAATTAGCTGAGCCCACAGCACTCTGTGGTGCATGTTACATTTCTTGCCCTCATTTTATCAGATTAAGAAAAGTCCTCATTAGCATTTTGCAGCCCTAGGACTTTGGGAGAAGCAGGACATCCTAGGAAAGGGAGCAGTAAAGGAAGTAGGAGAATCGTTATTATAGTCTCATTGCATGGAAGTGGTGGCCAACAGGGAAAAAGAGAAAGCAAGAACCCATCTTTGGAATTTGGGGACCCTAAGAAGAGTCTGTTACCCACAGGGTACAGCTGTCAACAAACTGAGAGCCTGCCTCTCTTCCTCTCCCCTACCTTGTGTCTGTCTCCACCTATTTCCCTCTCCTCCTTGCTCTTCCCCTTTTCTCTTTACCTCTCTCTCTCTCTCTTCCTCCTCTCTTTCTCCTCCCAGGGACCAAAGGGAGAAGGGAGAGCCGAGAAAGTGGCCCTGCCATCCCCTACTGGATTAACCAACGCCGCCGCCCCATCACCGGTGGCCACATCCCTTCTAATTTGTAGTGGTGGGTTTCTTTCCTTGGAGGAGCCAGGGTACTTTTAAACAGATAGAGGTAATGGGAGGATTATTATTCATAGGTAAGTCCAAATGGAATGTGTTCAGCTTCCTCAGGTCAAAGTCTGCTGTGTCTGAGATCACACCAAGTTCAAGCAACATAAAGTCAGAGAAGAAGCCGTTAGATTCAGGAACCTACTGAGAAGTGAGGGGGCCTCTTTACCACAAGGAAAGGGACCTGGGATATTTGCAAACTGACTGAACAAAGATGCAACTTAGAAGGTGCTTTCCTCAGCTGGGAGAGGACTGGTTTAATGAAGGAAAGACCAGGAGGCAGAAGGCACAGGAAGAGCTTAAGAGAAGAGAGAACCCTTCTAATGGTGTTTTTTTATACTGACATTTCCAAGTTTTTTTATACATGTCGAATGGTGAGGCGGGATTGAACTGGCCAAAAGAAAGGAACAAAAAGGGAAGAGGAAGGGCATCGGGAGGGGAGGAATCCTGGCTGGCTGTGATGCGAGGGAAGGCAGGTCGTCTTTATTGCCAGGGAGAAGGAGGGAAAGGCATGAGAGGGGCAGGTGGGGGAATTTCATCTTAAAAATGTAGTTGTTTTAGAGCAAGAGGTGCTCTAAAACACCTCTAGCCTTTGCTACCTACTTTTAAAAAATGCTTGATTTGGATTGTATGGTGACAGAAAATAGCTGCACATTAACAATGGCTGCACAGTAGCCAGGAGAACAAATCCCTTCAAGGTTCAGAAGTAAGCTAACCATCACAACTTTAGTTCTATTTTTATTCAGGACTTTGAATATATTACACACATTAAAATGTTTTCAAACAGTCTTTAGTGGGTTTCCCAACGCTGTGTGCAAAGAATGGTGATAGTTATTATAGATGAGGGATATACATCATTCATTCATGCAAAGGGGCGGAAAATATGCCCATATGACCCCGAACCTGAAGTATGAGCAAGGGCTGATGGGTCACCAGGCAGTTATTAGCGAGGCCCGTGGTTCCACGCGCCTTACAGAGGATTTTGTTAAGAATCAAAGTGTGCTTTGTTATGGACCCAAGCTGTCCATTTCTCTGATGGGTTTGAATAAAGTATTCCCTCTCTTAAAAAAAAGAAAGAAAGAAGGAAAGAAGAAAAGTGTGAGTTAAGGAAGCAGGTTGAACGAACTAGGGGCTAAAGGGGCACCAGCAGGGACAGCGGCAGGGTAGCTGCTGCACCCTCTGAGGGCTCTGCGGCCTTCTCAGGTACGCAGGTGAATTCCCTGTGCCTGGCTTCCTGGCCTGCAGCATGAAGTCTCTCTGTCCTCCCTGGGTGTGGAGGAGGCAGGCCTAAGGAAGTCCCTGGAAGAATGGGGGCAGGGAAGGCATGCTCATTCTTACGCCCGTGAGACTGTCGCATGCTTTCTGAGTTAATCCTCACAGCAGCAAGTAGTTGCTCATCTCATTTGAGATTAGTAATTTACCCGAGGTGGAGGTGCTTAGCTAGTGAGGGATGAAGTTGAAATCTGCACCCCAAAACCTGTGTTCTTCCATTAGATAGTGCCTTAGGGATTTGTCTCCTAAGTATGCTGAGAACTATGGAGGGAAAACATTCTAAATACAAGAATGCATTCTGAGACTTTAAGATGCTGAAAATCAGACCTGTGCTGGTAGGATTCCTGGAAGACAAGGTAAAAATCAGCTTTGTTTCCTTTAGGTGACTCACGTGGCCCTCCCAACCATCACATGGGCCCCATGTCAGAGAGGCGGCATGAGCAGAGCAGCGGCCCTGAGCACGGGCCCGAGAGGGGGCCTTTCCGGGGCGGCCAGGACTGCAGGGGTCCCCCTGATAGGCGTGGCCCTCACCCCGACTTCCCTGACGACTTCAGCAGACCAGATGACTTCCACCCGGACAAGCGCTTTGGCCACCGATTACGTGAATTTGAGGGGCGAGGAGGACCTTTACCACAAGAAGAGAAGTGGAGGCGTGGGGGCCCCGGGCCTCCGTTTCCGCCTGATCACAGGGAATTCAGCGAGGGGGATGGCCGGGGCGCAGCCCGGGGCCCTCCAGGGGCTTGGGAAGGCCGCAGACCTGGAGATGAACGATTCCCCCGGGATCCTGAGGACCCACGTTTTCGAGGGCGCAGAGAAGAAAGGTGGGACAGATGCTTTGTGGGTCTAATTCTTCCCTGGAGCTCTTGACCTGTTCTACAAGTCTCTTCTTTTGCTTGGGCAGAGGGCACTATATTGATTCCTAGTTCTACCCTCTCTAGGTTTTGCATTTAGACTTTAAGCAAGTAATTACACTTTTTTAACCTTTTATGCTTCTTTTTTATCTTTACAATTTAGAGATCTTTTTATTTTTGCTTGTTCTTTGGTCCTTTTAAAAGGGATGTGAGGATCAGTATAGTATGAAGTTTCTGGAACTTGATTAGAAGTCGCCAGGTTCTCTTGGTTAGAATGATGTACATATCTAGATTGAGATTGAGAATAAAAGTTTTTGTGAGATAGTTTTTCTGTAATTGCCTAAAGATCTTAACACAGTCAAGTCAAACTGAAAATTAATCTTGCTGTTCAATTAGGTCAAGTTCAGGCTTGAACTCTCAGCTTGCTGGGGGTAAAAAAGGCATAGAAGAAATAAGGAGGAAAAAAACAAGCATTAGTGAATCTCAGAGGAGACTGAGAATCGTCCGTGGTGGTGATGCCTGAGTATTTCTTTGTGCCAGTGAATTGTGAGACCGGTGTTCTTGTCAGCAGTTTGCAGATGAGGGGCCATGCTGAGGATCAGAGCAGTTGACTCTCCGCCAGGCGGAGGTGTGGGAGCGGCTTCAGGCCGGGTTGGCCGACCACAGTGCCCATGCCGTGGGGCACTCCTGCTGTCACGGTCGCAGCTCTGCCTATCCCATTTCTCTTGACTGTCGCTAGGGGGGGACTGAGTTCAGGGTTGACATTCCCCCATCCTCATGGGATGTGTTAGAAAAGAAGGACTAATAACATGGCCAAGGGCGGTGAAATCAAGGGAAATCAAGGGGTTCAGGAAAGCAGCTTTCAGAAGGGGGTTTTTAAAAAAGATTTAAGGGCTCCTAGTTTTCTCAAGGGCCTCTCTTAGTGGTATCCAAGGATTCACTCTTTGAAATGGCTTTATATTAGTCTGCAAGAGCCTCATTTCCAATGACTTTGGCATCAGTGTAACTTTCATCGATTTCTTGAACCTTTGCATCTTGTGCAGTTTCAGATTTTACTATGCCTCAGTTTTATTGTATTGCATCTGTCAATGACAGAGCCATAGCCCAGACTCTTGTGCTGTTGACAGCTTTCCGTTGCTCTTCAGATATGCCCAACGTGCTCCTGCCCTGTAGTGCTTGCTGTTTCCTCTGCCTGGAGCAGTCTCCCAGACATTTGTGGCTCACTCCAGTTAGATCCCTCCTCCTGTTAGCCCAGTTCCTTTACCCTGCTTTCTACTTCTTCATAGCACTTAGCACTGCTTGACATTAAGTGATGTATTTATTTCTTTATTACGTGTATCTGCCAGGAACATGATGGCTTCCCCAGGCTACTTTACCTCTGTGTCCCCAGGACCCAGAGCAGTAGTGGTGACATGGTGTAGGTGCTCAGTAACTGGTGAATAAATGAGTGTTAAATAGGGAGGGGGGTCAGTTCATCAGGAGATGTACTAGTCAGCTTGGGCTGCCATAACAAGATACCATGGGCTGGGAAGCTCAAACAACATGAATCTATTTTCTCGAAGTTCTGGAGGCTCGAAGTTGTGGATCATGGTCCAGCAGGGTGGGTTTTTGGTGAGACTTCTCTTCCTAGCTTGTAGGCAGCCAGCCACCTTCTCCCTGTGTCCTGGACTGGTGGAGAGAGAGAGTCTCTTCCTATCAGGGTACTAATCCCATCACAAGGCCTTCACCCTCATAACCTCCTCTAAGTTTTTTCCCCTAAGATTTTCTTTACTTATTTGAGAGAGAGGAGCATGCACATGCACACACATAGGGCGGGGCCGGGGGGGCAGAGGGCCAGAGGGTGAAGGAGAAGCAGACTCCCCACTGAGCAGGGAGCCTGATGTGGGGCTTGATCCTGGGACCCTGAGATCATGACCTGAGCTAAAGGCAGACACTTAACCGACTGAGCCACCCAGGCGCCGCATGACCTCCTCTAACCTTAATTATCCCTCAAAGGCCCATCCCATTGGGCATTAGGGCTTCAATGTACGAGTTTAGTGGGGGACACAAACATTTAGTCCTTAATAGGAGCCACTTTCTAATGAGGGCACATTAGATTCTCTTTCCTTTCGTGACTAGGACAGTCATGTAATGGATGCCTTGACAAATGAGACCTGTTGGTGTTTGGTGGGGGGGGGGTTCTCCCCGACTCTGTCCCAGGGACACAGCACCCTCTGCTGTACTCTTCCTGCTCCACTCCTCTCCTTTCAGCCAGTTCCATCTTTATCTTAGGAGGTTCTTTCAGCCAGTGTCCTGGGCACGTGCTCTTTGCGTGCAGGAGCAGGGGTCATCAAGGTACCTCAGGACCAAGAAAGTTTTAAGAAGTTAGCTGGAGTGGTGCATTGGGAAAGGGAAAATGCTTTTTACAGTAAAATACCAAGTAATCAGTGTAGGAGGAGGGATAGACTTAGAAAGTCCCTTCCTTTATAAGCAGTGTCCTAATTGATTCAGCCCAGGATCATCAGTGGGTGCTAAAACCACTGGTAAAAGATTGTGGGGAAATGGGATATTCTCACTGTGCGGAAACATCACCCACAGACTACTTAATTGCAAAGGAAACAAAAGTGTACCTTTGCCACAGTAAAATTTGGTCCCCACTTCACTTTTACATCATGAACAGGGAGACAAACTGGCATCTGTGAGAAGGTATAAGCAGTTTTGCCAAAAAGGTTTAACCTGAGTCTAATCATGAGGAAATAATCAGATAAATTCAAATTGTGGTACATTATATAAAATACCTGCATGGATCCTTCAAAAACATCTAACATGAAAGATAAACTATAGAAGGGTTCTAGATAAACTAGACAAAGAGACATGGCCATTAATAACAGTATATGATCAGGATTGAAATCTGTATTTAAAAACAACTGTAAAGGACATTTTGAGGACAATTGGAGAAATTTGAATTGGATTATATTATATAATATATGTTATTCGAGTGATAATAGTAGTATTATGTAGGAATGTAGGAGAAAAATCCTTGTTCTTAGAAGAAACATACTGAGGTATTATGGATGAGGTTCATGTTGTTGGCAGCTGATTTTGAAATGGTTTAGAAAAGTGGATTTGTTAAATAGATGGAGAGAGAAGATAAAGCACGTGTGGCAGTATCTTAAGAACTGATTAAACAAACAAAAAAAAACAGGTGAAGGACACACAGATGTTTGTTATTCTGTTCTTTCAACTTAGCTGTAAGTTTGAAATTTTGCAAAGTGAAACGTTGGAGTCAAAGATAACTGAATGGAGACTCAAGAAAAAGCGGAAAGCCTGGCCACTAGTGCAGATTGGCCCCATGCCCTTGCTCCTTCCGATCCTTTCTCCAGCTCTGAGGCCTTTCTTCTTGTGCTCATGCACCTTTCCTACTTGGAGGCTCCCTTTTTGCTTCCCCACAGGCCTCCTCCAGCTCATGTGCTCCCTCCTCATAATGGCTGTGCTTTGGCAGTACTCCTGGCCAACTCAGCCTCCAGTTTAGATCCTGAGGGACAGTGAACCTCTCCACCAGCCAGGGCCCCAGGCTGCCAGCTAGCCAGTGGGGGGACTGGCCCATAAACCAAGTGCCTGCCTGTATAGCAGTCAGCTGTGGAGGCATGGGTGAAGTTCATGGCCAGCCCTGTGCAGAGGCTGTGGGCTGGGGCAGATGGGAGAGCAGGTGTTCTCAAAGGATTCTGGTACAGTTGGCAGGCATGAATCTGTACCCCACTTTTTCTGATTATGTAAATAACAAATGTTCATTATAAAAATGTAAATCATAATGAAAAATATTTGGGAGGCAGTGGCAAAGAGCCTGGGCTGAAGTCAAGACTGGCTGAGTTCAAATCCCAGCACTTACTGTGTGTCCTGAAATAAATGATGTTACGTCTTTGTGCCTCAGTGTACTCATGGGTAGAATGGAGAATGATGTGGTGGTGAGGATAAAATGAAATAATATATGTAAAGCACTTGGCATGATTATCAGCACTTAAAACTTATTCACTGCTATTGTTATTCCTAAAAGCTTTAGGAGGAAATGAACACGACCCTACATTTACCTTCCTGCCTGTTTTTGCCTGAAATATTGGGGTTATAAAATGTGTACTTAAAAAAATACATTATTTTGTTTTTCTCCCATTTAACATTAATATCGTGTTTTCTTATACCATTATGCTTCTTTGAAACATGAACTCAGAGCTGTATTCCATTAGGTGGATATTTTGCTGTTTTTTCCCTGACAGCTTTAGAAGAGGAGCACCCCCAAGACATGAGGGCCGTGCCCCCCCCAGAGGAAGGGACAGTTTTCCTGGTCCTGAAGACTTTGGTCCAGAGGAGAATTTTGATCCTTCTGATGAAGCAGCCCGAGGAAGAGATCTCAGAGGTCGAGGTCGGGGTACTCCACGAGGTGAGCGTGTGCTGAGGACACTGAGTCTGGCAAGGGATGGTGTGGAGAGTTAGGTTATTGGGGACCACACCTGAAACAGTCTGTGAGTAGTGTGGTGTTATGTTGTTCTGTTGTGTAGGAGGAAGGAAGGGTTTACTCCCCACTCCTGATGAATTCCCTCGCTTTGAAGGAGGACGGAAACCAGACTCCTGGGATGGAAATAGAGAGCCAGGTAAGGAAGGACAACTGCTGTGGCTTCTGGTGACTTGAGCCCAGCAGCTCAGAGTGGGTCCAAGGACCCCTGGGGGTGGGTGTCCACCAGGTCCTCTGTTTTCTAACTCACATCTCTGTGGGATGCTGAACTATCTGCAAATCCTTCAGTGAGCAGCAGTTTATCGAAGTAGGTTGAATGCAGAAACAGCTGGGAGAGTCCAACTTTCTTCTACTAGCCAGACGTCAGAGGGATTTGCCTAGAATAGAAAACAGTACTGCTCTTTTCACTAAATGGTTTTGTTTTTGGAAAATATAGTTAAATGAATTAAAGTTTTCTCAGTTTTAATTGCTAATATGGCAAATATTATTAGATATAAGTCTCAAATTAAATTAAGTCTCAATAATTTTTAAGAGTGTAAAGACATCCTGAGACTAAAAAGTCTGAGAACTACTTTTCTGGACCTTACCTGTCTCTTATTTTAAGAGGTATGTTGATTTCTAATCTTGACCTTTTTCATGTACTCACGATGTGACTTAACCTGGCCTACGGTGGGTATTCACATGTTTCTTGCATGAATGAATATTGGTTCTCAAGTTGCTACTTATTTTTTATTTAATATTATTTTTTAAGCTTTTATTTTAGAGAGAGAGAGAAAATATGAGCAAGAGGGGCAGAGGGAGAGGGAAAATCCCAAGCAGACTCCGAGCTGAGTGCAGAACCCAATGCTGGGCTCAATCTCACAATGCTAAGGTCATGACCTGAGCCAAAACCAAGAGTCAGACACTCAAGTGACTGAGCCACCCAGCCGCCCAAAGTTGCTACTTATTCTTAACAGTATAATTTCCATCTGCTTTTAGTCACACTGTACTTGAATATGAGATTGCAGATTCTTAGCCTTGCGAAACCTGTGTTTCCTGTTTCAGGGCCAGGTCATGAACATTTCCGTGATGCTCCTCGCCCTGATCATCCCCCTCATGATGGTCATTCCCCAGCTAGCAGAGAACGTTCCTCTTCTCTCCAGGGCATGGACATGGCATCCCTGCCACCCCGAAAGCGTCCCTGGCATGATGGGCCAGGGACCTCGGAGCACAGAGAAATGGAAGCCCCAGGGGGTCCTTCTGAGGATCGAGGAGGCAAAGGTAAGTGGAGGCCAGTGATACAGTTCCAGGAGAAAGCTGCCAAGAAAGCTGTGGGGACTACGGGAGGCCTCATTACCAGGACACCCTCTCCCTCTTTTCCTGTTCCATCTGTTACTGGCAGGAAACCCAGGGTCCTTTCTCCATTCTACCCTCTAGGGCTTAGGCTGTGCAAAGGCATGTGTTCCCAAGTATGGTACAAATGCAGCTTGTTTGGACTCGCACCATAGCCAGTCAGACCCCTTACTCTGGTGATTGCAAGCTCAGCCTCTGCATAAATCTCCTCCAGGTGCTTCCAAGAAGTCCCTTACCTGGTTCGTTCAAGTGTTCCCCTCCAGCTCTTTGTCAAGGTGCCCCAGAGCAGGAGAGAGACTCCTACTCTCATTGGCAAACATGTTCTCCACCACTGGCTGCTCTTAGCCCTCAAGGGTGTCCTCAGTGACAGGAAGAATTGTCTTCCTGGGTTCCATGTTTAGTTTTAGCCTGGGTATGGAAGGAACTGCTAATGCCTAGAATCACAAGCACTTTGAGGAATATGGTCTGGAAGGGGTTGTTTTCGGGGAGGGGGCAGATTATTTCTATGACTTGAAACTTTGGATCGTTATTTTAGAGGTAGCACTAACTTTAAGCCAGGCGCAGGAGCCACCATGTGTTCTCTGGTTAGGCTGGGCCATGGCCTCTGTGGTAGTTTGGAGGCTGCTAGGAAGCAGGCCTAGTTAAACCTGCCTTATGTTTATAGTCTCATTACAAAGTTTTGCTTTTTGTGTTTTTGTAGATTTTATTTATTTGACAGAGACACAGCGAGAGAGGGAACACAAGCAGGGGGTGTGGGAGAGGGAGAAGCAGGCTTCCAGCGGAGCAGGGAGCCCGATGTGGGGCTCGATCCCAGGACTCTGGGATCATGACCTGAGCCGAAGGCAGACGCTTAACGACTGAGCACCCAGGCGCCCCATGCTTTTTGTTTTTGATGGTGGTTTGGTTCTTCTCAAAGCAAAACCCTCAGAAACTACCTCATGTCACCAGTAGATCTCCCTAAGCACACATTTTGTCACTGGTCAGTATGGGCACTCAGGACACCTGGACACCTGTGTAGGTATCTAGCCAAGGCCACATGGCTGGTGTGGAAATGGCTTCCTAAGCTGATATCTTCTCTGCCCAGGTACCTTCAGGGGGGCCTAGCCTCTGCTTTGTAGGAAAAGCAGCCAATATTTTCCTTTGGCTAGCTTTCCTAACCACCTTGTTTTACCTAGATTCAAATTCCACTCAAAAAGTTAAGACAAAATAAAGTCGGCAACAGTTTTCTGATACTGCATTATAGGAGATATGGCCAAATCCTGTCAGCTCATGAGAAGAAAAACTTAAAAAAGTCAGAATTCTAATGTACTTAAAAGGTTTGTGTGTCCAAGTCTGGAACAAAAACAAACTTGTCCCTGGGAGAAAAAATTCTAAAAGCTAGGTGGTCGGTTGGTGGTTTTTTAAAGAAATACTTTATTTCACTATTTGAAAGGAAAACAAAAGTGGCACATAGTTGTGGGATTAATGATAGTAAAACCCATTGTAATTAACATCCACAGTTTGTATTAGTTGCTTTCAAAGTCAAGTCTGTGCTTTTCAAGTCTTCCCCCCTGCCCCCCGCAATAACATCCCCCAAACTCCCCCTACCCCCCACCAATGGCATAGGAGGGTGAAGAGTAGAGACATGGCCCAGTGTGGTCTGTGACTCCCAGAGGTGCTCCAAGTTCACTTCTGGGTTTCCCATCATTTCCATCACACACCCTGGGGAACATATCTGGTTGTTGCTGAGGGGCAGGACCACAACCTGGGTGGGAATGAGATAGTGGTTGACTAGAGGGTAGAGGCACAGCTTCTAATGCTCTGAATGACACTGCTGATGTCCTCAGCACTCTGTTTTCAAGACCCAGAGGGTTCCACTGTCATCACTGAGTTTGTGCCGGGAATTACTGATTAATAGTCTCTGATAGAAAAAAAAGTAACGTGGAATTATTTTGATTCATTTCAGGCCGAGGGGGCCCAGGACCTTCCCAGAGAGTGCCAAAATCCGGGCGCTCCAGCTCCTTGGATGGAGATCATCATGACGGCTACCACAGAGATGAACCTTTTGGAGGCCCTCCAGGCAGCGGTACTCCTTCCAGAGGGGGCCGGAGTGGCAGTAACTGGGGGAGAGGGAGTAACATGAACTCTGGCCCGCCAAGGCGAGGAGCTTCAAGGGGTGGTGGAAGGGGTCGGTAGAAGCTGATTCCCCTGAGGCCTCTCTGGACAGTATTTAAGAACTTCTTTTGGACTTATCAAGACAAACAAAAGGAAGCCTGCACCATGTAGCCCTGAACTTTTTCTGGGGCAGCTGAATCCCAGGAGCCCCTAATGAGGTCTTCAAGATGAAGAGACTGCTGCTGGCTACCCAGAGTAGCTGGCCTTGTTCTGTCCTGTCCACCCTCACTGCCCTGCCCTAACTCCCATTGTTTGTGAAGATAAAAGCTGGAATCTTTTTTTTTTTTTTAAAGTGTCACGAGACATGGAGCACCTCCACAAATTTAAGTTCATGTCCAATTGGAAATTTGTTTCTATATGTACAGTTTGTCAGAGAAAAAACATTAAGTTGTTTTTGTATGAATACAGAATGTGATTTATGCAAGAATTAACAGAAAACTAGTTGTGAAATGCTTGCCTTAAGGAAACCCTGTTTCCATTGCATCCAGTCAGCTGAGGGGGTACAATTATTGCTTCTGTTTGTGAGCACACCTGATGGGTACCTCTGAGCCATCTAAGTTAATTTCATCCATGAACTTTGTCTTAAATTCTCATCTACCCATTCTGTCACACTTATTTTTGTAATAGAGTGAGACACTTTGAAACTATAACACAGTTTGAAAGTAGATTCAAAGCCTTAGTTACCACCTGCTGTGGCAGGTGGAAAATTATACTCTGAAGAAAAACATCTTCTGGCTGTCCAAGTAGGGGTTCTCCCTTGGGTGCATCTCCTGGTAATCACGCCTTAAACTTGAATTCCCTTGTTTCTGATGAGAGGAACCGGACATAAACCAGAAATTAACTACATGCAGCACCCTTCTAATTAAATCATGTCACAATTTAAGTTGAGAAGGAATAGACCAAATATCTCCTAAAACAATTCTGCAAAACCTTCTCCTATACCAGTGTTTAAAGCCGTGGATAGTTCTAGTTTAAAGCCAGGAAGTTCCAACAAATTCCTTTATAGTTTTAAATAAATGTAACATTTGGCCCAGTTTGGAAGCCAAAGTTCAGTTTGATAACCCTGTATTTTCTCTACTGACCCTTATTTTGTTTTTGTAAGAAAACTTTTATTATTCAAAGGATATTTCTGTGGCTACCCTAATATCTTTGGCACTGGAGACAGGTTCACCTGGCAAATGTAGTGGTGTTGGAAGTCTCGCAGTTGCTTAAGACAAGGGATGCTGGCATAGTTGCATAGCATATAAAAACCTCTTAATTAGTTGTCAATGTAAAATACTGTAAAAGCAAAGTTATTTCTGCAGTGAGAAAATGTCAGCCACACATGGCTTTTTAGGGTATTAAAACCTACAGACTAGAAGTGAATCATTTTTATCAGCATGTCAGTATAAACGCATGATTAGGAGGCTCAAGAATGCTTCAAGTTTGCAGAATATTCTTTCTTTCTTTGCCCTCCACTGGCACAGCTTAAAAAGAAGTTGTAATCAAATTCTGATTAAGGTAAAATGGGACCGAACCCATATGGAGATTAGACTTTTTCCTAAGATAGACGTGGTAAGAAATTTATCATAACATTTTAGGCCTCAACTTTAAAAACACAGTATCTCAGCAAGCAGATAACCAGATCATATTTTGAGAAAGAATTCCTTTAGAAAAAAACCTGAACTCTCTACACTGTAATTTATTAAATACTTAGAATATTTTAAAACATCACTACCAAAATACATACAAGGTATTGTGCTTTGAATTTTACAAATGGCTAGATTTTCAGTGTTTGAATTTTTGAGAAAATGTTGGGAAAACGATTTAAAAAAAATATAACAGCATCAACATAAAAATGTACTAAACACTGTAAAATACTCAGTTGTGCAAATTCTAGAGAAATTGAGAACTAGAACAGATATTTAACTGGGGGACAAAAGGAGCAGTCAATGGCCCAAGTTTTTCCAGTTACAAAAATAAGTCACTCCCTAAATACAGTACATTTGCTTTTACTACAAATACCTTCTTGGTTGTTCCTCTTGAGGTAGGTAATCCTGTTTACTGATAAGGGAACAAGGCAGTAATTCTTAAGAGAATACTGGGGTGGGGGGCCTCATGAAGTTGGGGCAGGGCTTAGGACACTGATCAGGATCTAGGAATATAAATAAGTGAGGTTGAACAAAGAGGCAATGCTCTGTTGCTGCCTGACACACCTGTTTAGGCAACAGTGGAATCCAGCCCCAGAAAATAATTATTTTCAAATTGTGCAATTAGGTGTACAGAAAAGTGGTTCTCAACCTTAGCCGAACATGGAATCATCCAGAAAGCTCTAAAATACTGACGTCTGGGTCCGCCCTCCACCGCTCCAGAGATTCTGACTGAATCCATCTGAGGTTTTGCTCTTCAAGTAATTCCGATGTGAACTGAGAACCACTGACATAGAATCTGAAAATTCTAAATACATCTACTTTCTAGTTAATATAGCTACTGACAAAATATGTAGTTTTTTTGACTCATCAGAATATCCAGTCCAAACTTTCTGGCAATACATTAGCATATACAATTAGGTCAGAGACAGGAGTAAATGCTGAACCTAAAAGGAAACTTGACAGATATGAAAAGAATCTTACACTGCGTTAGAATCAGCCTACAAAATGTAAATTATACTTTAAAAAGCAGGTAACAGCCTTGTAGAAATCCATGGTTTCCGTTAAATATAGAACTTTGGATGCAGAATTCTCTCCTCCAGCAGGAGTCCCCAGACCAGCCAGTTCTGCCCAGGAACCTCTCACAGCACTGAAATGTCCTGCTTCTTGGGGCAGACATTTCCTTTTTGGTCCATTGCTTTCCTGGTCTAATACAGAACCAATTTTCCTTTAATTTTGTAAGGCACCATATTTACAATTTCACTAAAAAAAGGAAAAACCGAGGTAAACCGTCTTAACTAAAGTACTTACATAAAACCCGGTGGCTAAATTTAGTGTTTAATTTGATACCCTTAAGAATCCACTCATTGAATGAGGAAAAAATTTCTAAAAGCCAAAGAAAACAAAAGCGTATTGTAGCTACGCTACTTCAATCTACCACTGGATTTTTTTAAACGACAAAAGGTAAAATAAGTCTGAGGAACGTCACAAGAGCAGCTAACTGAAACTGAGGAGCCATTCTTTTTTTTTACTGTGCTCAATCTAAAACCACGGTTAACGCAAAAGCAATTTACCATTAAGTTTTTCACAGCGTATCACCAAGTCAACGACAACATCTCGTGTCATAGAACATTATACATGGCGGAAAAACGCTGAAACCGAAGCGCTTCCGAATCGAGTCTCTCTTTTAGAACGGCCGCTCAAAGACGTTAACGGGTTCGCTGGCACAATAACGCAGCAGCCTTTACTCAGCGCGATCGGGAAACCGGCGGGTGCAGTCTTCGGCTCGGTCCGCGATGCGCCCGGGGCTGCCTTCCGGTGGTCTCCAGACGGCGCATTCCGGGGGCCGGGCTCCGCGTCATCTCTGGACAGCGCGTCCTGGTCTGAAGGCGCGGGCCCTGGGCTTCTCACACTGGCAGCGCCTTAGCGAGGCCGGCGCTTGGGCCCAGCCGTCCGAGCGCTACACGCAGCGCAGTACCTGCGCCCCAGGGCAGAAGCCCGAACAGCACGGTCAGCAGCGCGGCTACCTGCACGAAGGCACCCAGCGCCGTGAGCAACGTACTGCGCAGCCCGAGCGCCGCGTACAGCGTGGCGCCCAGCGCGGCCACGTAGAGCAGCGCGGGCCGCGACGGCGCCTCCTCGCCGCGCAGCAGGCGCCCGCACGCCGCACCGCCCCGCAGGAGCGTCCCGCCCGCTAACGCCAGAGCCGAGCCCAACGACCAGAGCAGTGCGAACTTCCGGGCGCGCAGGAGCAGCACGGGCGCGTAAAGCGCGGCCAGACCGAAACAGAGCGCGGCCAGCAGCAGGCACACGCCGCTTGCCGCCAGCCGCTGCGCGCGCGTCACATTAGGCAAGCACGCTGGGCTTGTCCCCACCGTTGGCTCCGCAGGGCTCCGCGCCCAAGTCCAGCGCAGGCCCGCGCGGCCCAGCCACGCCCCCGCCGCGGGCTCTTCCGTCTTTTCCGCAGCGAGCAGCGGCTCCGCGGCCGCCAGCCCACCGGCTTTACCCTGCGCCAGGTACTCCTGCAGCTGGCGGTGGAGGTCCGCCATGTTGGCCGGATCGGCCGCGGGGGGATGGGAGGGCTGCTGCCCACTTCCGGTTTTTCTCAGTCGCTGGCGGAAGCGGCTCGGCCCTCGGCGGCTGTTGGTCGGCCGTGGCGGGAGGGGCGGGGCCTGCGGCCTGTGCGGAAGGGGCGGGGCCGCTCCTCTGCAGACTTGTGGTGGCTCGGCTATCAGCCGCTGAGCTTGGGGGTTTACCTGTCCCCTGGGTTTACATTGACCCTCTCTACTGGCGCTCGGCCTTATTCCTGATGGGCGCTGTTACGGCCTGGTTTAGTTATGTCGGCATTAAAAGTTAGTTGGACGGGGTGGGTGTGGCTATAAAAGGTTACAGGAGGGACACTTGTCGTGATGGAACAGTTCTGTATTTTGAGTTTATGGGTATCGGTGTCCTGGTTGTGATACTGTACTGTAGTTTTGCAAGATGTCGCCCTTGGGGGAATCTGCCTATTACGTCTTAAAACTGTATACTAATCTACAGTTTCTCTCAATAAATTTAATTTTTTAAAAAGTTCAGCTCGGCGGGACTTAACGTGGTTTCTTTGGAAAGGCTACCGGAGTTGATAAAGGAGGAGTTACGCGCCCCCCCCACCAGCTTATTTGTTTTCTGTTCCCCGTTTCAGCAGAGGCCTGTCAATATTCTTGACTCCTTCAAGCCGCATGTCCAAGATTTGTTGGTGCCCCTGTCCTATATTTCTGGTTCACCTTTTTGTACTCCTGACATCTCTGGGTCCAGTGACTCAGGGGCAGATCACTGATAACCTTGCCGGCACTCCCAGTCAATTCCTGATATGTCTTGAGGTGGCTCCCAGGGATCCTGCTCTTACTCAGAGCCTCTTTGGGGTTCTTCACGTAGGTCACACCCTGACAGGTCTCCTCCAGGGCTTCTGTGCTCAATTGTTTGGGCCTGGCTAGTTCCTCCTCCTGGACATTTAGATGGAGCCGCACTTCCAGCTACTTCTGATGTTCTCACCTGTCCCAGTTGTGAAAATTTATGTATCAGCAACTGGAGCACAGGGTCTCTTTCATGTCCCTTTCCCTAGGACCTGAAAGGACCTGCTGCGAATACACGAAGCTGTCAATTCCAGTGTAGTAAAGGTGCTTGAAAGACTTTGTAGATCCTGCCTGAAGCCATCGATTGAAACACCTTTTTTGCTAGACTTTGTAAATGCCTCTTGTGAACTTAAATGTGATGGCACGGGAGTCCTTTTGTAATGTAACGTGCAATACAGGTAAGTTGT